GGCCTCCCAAAGTGCTGGGATTACAGGTGTGAGCTACTGCACCTGGCCTCAAACTTTTAATTGAAGCTAACATACACATAGAAACTAGTACAAATCGTAAGTGAGCAACAGGTAAGTTTTGATAAAATGAACATACCAGCATCCACTCAGGCAATAGACTATTAGAGTCCTCAGAAGCTCCTTTCCACTTTCTTTCAGGACCATTCATCCCCCAGTGAGTCTCTACACCATCATGCTGACTTCTAACCCCATATGCCAAGCTTCTTGCTTTCGAACTTTATAGATATTATTGTATGTTGTTTAAGTGTGCTCAACTGTCACTTCTTCAGTGAGGCCTCCCTCTTCCCAGCCATCACTCTGTGTCACATCGCCCTGCTTGATTTTTTTTTTTTTTAAGTCACAGATGCGGTCAGACCTGTATGGTATTCCTCAGTATGAATGTGCCACAGTTTATTCATCCATCCTACTGTCAGTGGACATTTGGGGAGTTTCTAGTTTGGAGCTGTTTATAAATAGTGCTGCTGTGAATATTCTTGTGTGTATCTTTTGGTGGACACATATATACCTTTCTTTTGGAGATATACCTAGGATTAAAACCGTTGGATCACAGGAAATACATGTGTTCAGCGTTATTAAATAGACCAAAGAGTTTTCCAAAGTGGCTATAGGCACTGATTGTTTTTAAAAGTCCCTGGATGACCGGGCGCAGTGACTCACACCTGTAATCCCAGCACTTTGGAAGGCCGAGGCGGGTGGATCTCCTGAAGGCAGGAGTTCAAGAGCAGCCTGGCCTGGCCAACATTGCAAAACCTTATCTCTATTAAAAATACAAAAATTAGCTGGGCATAGTGGCATGCACCTGTAATCCCAGCTACTTGGGAGACTGAGGCAGGAGAATCGCTTGAATCCAGGAGACAGAGGTTGCAGTGAGCTGAGATCGCGCCATTGCTCTCCAACCTGGGCAACAGAGTGAGACTCTGTCATTCATTCATTCATTCATTCATACATACATACATACATGTCCCTGACTGATTCTAATATGCAGCTGGAGCTGAGAGTTGCTATTCTAAGGGCTGTAACTCTGAAGACAGGGATGTCAGTCAGGAGGCTGGAGCTGTCACCCAGCACCTGGGGAGATTCAAACACTGGCTGAGAGCAGGATTTCCGCAGAAGAGGGAGCAGGCAGCAGTAGAGGACTAGGCCTCGGGAAAGAGAAACTCTTGATAAGACAAAAGAAGGCAGAGGAAGAGGAAAACAGCCCCTGGTGCTGCTGGTGCTTCTGGCTTTGCCTTTGCAAAGGTCTGGAGAAGGACGTGAAAGGAGAGGCGGGAGGTGAAATAGTTTAAAGTGCTTTTTGTTTCCCAGTAGGGAATCCTGGGAACATCAGCCAAAGCCTGCAGACACTATGTCATAGGACTCTAATTGTGAGACATGAATTCACCGGGTATATATGTGCTTAGCAGGTTGGGAGCAGCGGGGAGGGTGGTGGTGTGGCCAGGTTGCCAGGAAAGGACTAGGAAAACCTGGATTCTCATCCCCCTTGTGCCATGAACAGTCTGTGTTACGTTGGGCAAACTGCTTCGTGTCTCTATACTTTAGTTACAGAATGTTCTGGCTAGATGACCTCTCAGTCTGTTAGAGCTCTAATGGTCTGTTATTTATTTTCTGTTACTCTAGGGGTGAAATTCCAGCCAGAAGCCGATCTGAAAAGTTGGCATGATGCTATAGCTTTATGTCTGAGATTGGCTTTGGATGAAAACATTAGACTGTATAATTATTTCCCCAAATTATAGAGCCTAGGATAAGAAACCCCTGGATGGCTTTAGTTTTGTTTTTGTTATTTTGAAGTTCGGGCTACGGCTGAGATAATAATGTCTGGGGAACCATGGACAGTCTTGTTTTGTTTCCACAATAGCTCCAGTGCAGTGTTTACGTTTTGTGTTCATATCTAAACTCCTCCTACTTATCTTTATGAAACAAAGGCCTCTTACCTGGGTGAATGGGAAGAGCTACTGAACCGCTTTGGAAGAGAAGGCCAGAGTTACATATATTTTATTTTTCTTTTCTATTTGTTTTCTGAGATAGGGTCTCACTCTGTGCCCCAGGCTGGAGTGCAGTGGTGCCATCTCGGCTCACTGCAGCCTTGACCTCCCATGCTCAAGTGATCTTCTCACCTCAGCCTTCTGAGCAGCTGGGACTACAGGCATGTACCACCATACCTGGCTAATATTTTGATTTTTTTTTTTGTTTGGTAGAGATAGGATCTCCCCTGTGTTGCCCAGGTTGGTGTCTAATTCCTGGGCTCAAGTGGTCCACCTGCCTCAGCCTCCCAAACTGCTGGGATTACAGGCATGAGCCACTGTGCCTGGCCAGATCTACTTTGTTAATTCACATGAAGAGAAACCAATGGACTCTTTTTCATGTTCCAGCCATCACTATGGCTGTCCAGCCCCAGGAGATTCCTGAAGGGTCCCAGCTTTAAGCAGACTTGGAGTTCCACCCGGGTAGGAAGGCCATACCTTGATGAAAAAACTGGGAAGGAAGGGCCAAGGGCTTAGCTCTCTTTGGCTCTTCTTGGAATCTGTGGATTCCCTTGAGGTCTCAGGGGAAAAGGAACAGGGAATAGGTACCCTTTCTTTGGGAGGATTTTTACAAAGGAATAAAGTCACATGATTCAGCCACTGAAGGACAACTAGCCTTCAAAACAAAGTCCACAAAAGAAACAGGAATTATACCGTATCAACTGATTTAAAAATTGTGGGGCAAACTCAAAGATATTTTGGTTGCAATCCAGAGTCTTGGGCTGGAAGAGTACAACAGAGGTTCTTGGAGTGGGCAGATATGTGATGTCCACGGGAGGAAAACCCCAGGACAATGGAAGTCAACATAAGCTGAGTGTGTCATTAACTAGGCCAAAGATAAAGCCAGTTTACATGCTGTTCTTAAAAGAGGTTGCTAGAGAGGAAGAGATGGTGTAGCTAAGGAGAAAGTCAATATTGTGAGTCAGCCGAGTGAGACGCTGGACACACTGGATGAGCTGACAGGGGTGGGAATGTTTGCACAGCAGTGGTTGGCAGAGACACTCTGGGCCTGAAACTGTGATAAAAGGAGCCGGAATGTAGCTTGTTTGGTTGTCATAGGACAAAGGAAGGAACATACAGGTTAGGGTGGGGATTGTGTTACCCACTGAGCCTGGATTAAAAGAAACCATTGGGTTGGGAAGGCATTTCATTTGCTCTGTGCGAGAGGATTCAGTTGTTGGGAGTGACAGGCCAAGTGCTGTACAGACACCATTCAGTTGTTGGTGGCCAGCCACAGAGGGAAGAGTGGAAGCACCAGCCAGGTGTCCCTGAGAGACCCCTGGTCTGTATGTTCATTTCATAAGGTACCTTCTCCCCATCAGAAAGGACTGGAATAGGTATCAGCCTGGGAAAACAGGCTGTGTGGATCTCTACTTTGCGATGTTTAAAGAAATGAGTTGGGTATGAGTTGAGCCCGGAGTTCTTGGAAGGCTGATAGTGCTGACATTTGCTGAGTGCCAGCTATTGTGCTGGGTGCCATGTACACATGATCTCAGTGCGTTTTCTGAGACCTGTCTTGTTTTTAGTTTTATAGATGTTGATACAGGTGGCCAGAGAGATCGTTTGCCCAAAGTCACACAGTCAGAGGTGGAAGTCGGTATTTTCATCCAGCCAACCTATTTGATTACAAAGGGATCCCCTCACAGTATCTGGGCATTGCTGAAGGCGCAAAGAATAAAGTTGTGTGTGTGTGTGTGTTTGTGTGTGTGTGTGTGTGTGTGTAACTTTCAAAGGGTGTTGGATAAATATAGGGTATTTTCCCTTTGGAATTAATCTATCAGGACCAAAAAGGTGTGCTGCCATTTTGGGCTTTGGGGAGAAAGGAGCCATGTCTCCAGTAGGTTTGCCATTGTGAGACAGAGAGTCAATATCCTTGGATTTCCCCTTGACAAGGCCCACTAGGCCCTCGGCTGCTCACCATGTTGTTCCAGAGCGCAATGGCCATCTCAGCATGTCCCCGGTCTGAGAAGTGAAAACAGTCCTCGGAGAAGAAGGTGAGGTCAGTGTCCCCTCTCTGCAACCAAAAGGCAAGGAGGTTACCGTCCTGGGAAAGGGCTTTGCTACCTGAGCCCCAATCCCGCGCCCAGCAGGTGCCCTGGGCATGTCTCCTTTCATCCTTCCAACTCTCCTGCCAACTGGCTCAGATACTGATGGAAAAACTCCCAGAATTTGGAATTTTTTTTTTTTTTGAGACGGAGTTTCGCACTGTCAGCTGGGCTGGAGTGCAGTGACGCGATTTCAGCTCACTGCAACCTCCGTCTCCGCCTCTTGAGTAGCTGGGATTACAGGCGCCCACCACCACGCCCAGCTAACTTTTTGTATTTTTAGCAGAGGCAGAGTTTCACCATTTTGGCCAGACTGGTCTCAAACTCCTAACGTCGTGATTCACCTGCCTTGGCCTCCCAAAGTGCTGAGATTACAGGCATGAGCCACTATACCCTGCCAGAATTTTCTTTTTAAACAGACATGAGGCCGGGCGCGGTGGCTCAATCCTGTAATCCCAGCACTTTGGGAGGCCGAGGCGGGTGGATCACGAGGTCAGGAGATCGAGACTATCCTGGCTAACATGGTGAAACCCCGTCTCTACTAAAAATATAAAAAACTAGCCGGGCGTGGTAGCGGGCGCCTGTAGTCTCAGCTACTTGGGAGGCTGAGGCGGGAGAATGGCGTGAACCCGGGAGGCGGAGCTTGCAGTGAGCCGAGATCACGCCACTGCACTCCAGCCTGAAAGACACAGCGAGACTCCGTCTCAAAAAAAAAAAAAAAAAAAAAAAAAAAAAAATGAATTGGACCCACCCATAGTCTCTCCCTTTTCTTGCAGCACCCCTATCCTAATAGTTGAAAAGAGTAATATTTTTAGGAAGCTTTCCACTCTATCCCAATCCAGAAAATATCAGGGCCAGGCCTGGGGAGCTTAGTCACTATTGATTTCCTTTCCAACTACATCTGAGTTCCAATCACAGCCCAGCCCTCACAAAAAGGAGGTAATGTGGAAAAAGCCACCCTCAGGAGCCCTCTTGGAGAGAGATGGTTAAAAAAAATGCCCACTTAAAGAAGTACATCCATTGTCTGTGATAAGGCCTCCATACACGAGCCTCCCTGAAATGCCCGCGGCTCACCTCGTTCAGTGGTATGAGCGTGTTTTGGAAGAAAGGCTGGACCACAACTGTGAAGTCCTCACGCTGTGTGTATTGGTGCCAGTAGGAGAAACTGGAGATGCCATTCTGGGGATGGAGAGAGAAGCTACTCAACCCTCTTGGCAAGGCTGCACAGACAGGGTTCAGTCCTGCTGTCTTGGATTGGTTGTGACAGGAGTCAACTCACCCTAAACGACAGTGACTTTAAGGCCCTACTCTAGTGGGATGCATGCATGCTTTTATTCTCCACCCATTCATGGGCATCTGCATTTCAAGGCCCTATCCTGGTTCTCAGGCTCAGAGATGAGTTGAACCCAGCGGCTCCTGGTGGTAGAGAAGCTCCCTATCCGCACAGCTCCACCCAGTCCCATTCCAAAGCCTCTGCCTGCAAGGCTGGGTCTGAGCCACTGACCAGATTGCCTGGGCCAAAGGCCTCCTCTGCACACTACATGAAGAGGTCAATTAGAAAATGGGGCTGCAGGTCAGATGGGGAGCATCTCAACACCAGCTCCCAAAATGCTCGCGAACTTTGGGGGAGGAGAGTTCATGGTGGCTGGATTTAAGTACCCAAGCATGGAACATAAAAGGAACAGACTAGCTGTACTTATCTTCAAGGAGTTTCTCATCCATCTGGGAACATAAGACAAGATGTGAAAACATGAGGACCATTTGCGGCTTTCAGGGCCCATCAAGTACAGACTGAATGTGTTATGGGGAGATGTCTGCGGGTGAAGTTCAGGCAGGGGAAGCTCCTCAGAGGAGGGAAGCAGACTTGCCTTGTGAATGAAGGCAGGTCAGTTTGCAGAATGGAAATGCTACCTGAGCCTGAGAGGGAACAATAGAGGCAGAGACCTAAGCAGGAGTGGAGGTGGGGAGATGGAAGGGGGTAGAGAGAGGGCGAGGAGAATTTGAGGTAGAGGTAAGTAGGGCAGGGTTAAGCCTTTTTCTCTTTTGGAGATAGGGTCTCACTCTGTTGCCTAGGCAGCAGTACAACGGCATGATCATAGCTAATGACAGCTTCCAACGCCTGGGCTCAAGCTGTCCTCCCACCTCAGCCTCCTGAGTAGCTGGGACACCCAGCATGAGCCATTGTGCTGGGCCTAAGCCTTTTGTTTGGAATGAAGGGAGGGGAGGAAGTGAGTAGTAATTATTACACATGGTTCTGCATGGGGAAAATGGGCCCCACCACAAGGAGTCTACTCTGGGAGTCTCTTGCTGCCTGCCTGCTAGGAGGAGAGGATTCTCTCAGCTTCCACTTTAGGGTCTCTCATTCCTTTCCCTGGCCTTGGTGTTCAGTTTGCAGGGATAAGTATTTCAGGGGCTGTGATCTGCTTTCAGGGAGTGGCTTGCTCTTGGCCAAATCCTGCTGAGCATTCGATTTCCGAGTCATTGCTCAGGGAGTACAGGGCCCCCCGCTGGGTCAGTAAGAGAAGGGCTGCAGGGCTTACTTGGAGGTTCCAGTTCACTTTCTTCAGTTCTTGCTTCTCCAGGGAGCTTTGAGAGTGTCTGAGGCAAGTGCAGTTGTTCCTGTGAGACAGGGAGTCTTGTATTGAGGCTCCCTGGGGCACCGTGGCTCTGCCCTCCTGGGAGGCTGGCTCTGACACACAGCGCAGGCTGCCACCCCAGGGGCCTGCAGCCTGTGCTGCCTTACCTGGGGCAGGGGGTGACACACAAGTATTCCCACAATACACCTTTGACAGACTCAGACCCAGGTTCAGAACGCTAACTCAGGAGCCCTGAGGTCCAGAGGATGCTTGTTCATAGAGAAAGTGGGAGAGCTGGCCCCTGGTGCCTGGACCTTCTTGTGGACAGACGCCTATTCCCCTTCCTCCTTAACTGCTCTAGGAAACCAGCCTGGGATTTCTCCAGAGCAGGACTGGGTGGGCAGGAGACTGGAGTTCAGGAAACCAGCCACAATGGCTCTCTCTGTGCCTGGGTTTGGAATCACTCCTCATGTTCCTGGGGCCTCTCAGCTCTTCCTACAACTGCTTAGGACCCTCCCTCAGGGCTCCAGTGTGGGAAGTCTGCGGAAAGCTGGGGAGGGCCACCAGCGGCTAGAAGCAGTCCTGACAACATGGAACACGATACAGACAGACTCTGGAGGAGCTGTTCCCTGCAAGAATGGGAACCAGCTGGTCACCTTTGCAGCAAATCCATTTGAGCCCAGGTATAGGATTCCTCAGCTCCCTGGAGAACCTCCTCTCTCATAGCAATAATCACTCAAACTTTGGGAGGCCCTCTGCCCTCAGAACATGGCAACTTCCAGCCCCCGACAGGAGCTCCTGTCTTGCCCATCAGCACCTTGCCTCCAAGCCCAACTGTCAAGGACAGGTCCCATTAAGGATGGAATAAGAGCTATTTCCTAAGACCCTGCTCTCGGTAGGCCGGGTATCTTAATTGTTTCCTCTTGCCCTCACATCTACCTTGCAGGGAAGGTGCCATCTCCCCCACTTTACAGATGAGGAGCACAGAGGCTCGTAGAGGTTATGTGGTTTGTTCAAGGTTCCAAGGCTCCTAAATGGCAGAGCAGTTGAGGCCGGAGGTAGCAGCCTTGAAAGCTCATGGCCCCATGCTGCTGCTCAACAGGGAGCAACATGCCGAGGTTTGACCTGGCAATCACTGACAATGTCAGGGAGCCTTAAGGATCATTTGGTCTGTCTCCTTCTACAGAAAAGCAAACAGGGGTCCAGAGAAATGAAGCGTCTTGCATACAGTAGGCATTCACAAATGTAGAGGTACTTCCTGATGTTGTCCAAGCCCCTGAGCCACGTCTGCCCTCTGGCAGGCCTGCCTGGCTCTGCCTCAACTGGTCTCCTCCTCTGGCGCCTGCAAGCCCTCCTCACCCCAGGTGCCCTTGCCTTGGGACGGTGACCTGTCCACTTACTGAGCTGGCAGCATGGCACATTTCCCGCCTTGGCCCTGGTACAGGCTGGCCAGCTCCATGACCTCCACCACGTTGACGAAAGTCCTTGGCAGCTGCAGGGAGCGGAGGGTGGCTTTGTTAAGGCACTGGCTACTGCTGGGAGGAACCTGGGGGTCATCTGCAGTCCAGTTCCCACCCCCCAATTTTACCAATGAAGAAACAGGCCCAGAGGGTGGATGTGACTTGTACTATCTCACTGAATCTTCTTGAGTGGCTCTGCTTTATAGATCGAGAAGCTGAGACACAGAGCGGTCACTTGCCTGAAGCCACAGTGCTGGGTGCAAACCTGGGCCGACTGGTGCCAAGGCAAGCACATTGCTGCCACACAAGCCTATCTCTGGCCAAGTGAGATTTCCCCTGCAGAGGAGCTTGACAGCCACCTCCCTCCCTACCATCCAGGTGCCCACTCATGGCGGGTCTCTGCTCAGTGAGCATCTCAGTGAACACAACCTGCCTGGATGCAGCCCAGGGAGGTGGCTGACAGGACCCAGGAACACGCAACCCCTCTCCTACCTCCTGAGAGAGGATGTCCAGGGCCTGTTGGATGTGCTGAACATACTCCGTGGCCAAGTGGGCCTCCTGTAAGGAAAAAAGGGAACTCTCTTTAGCCCCTGGTGCCCGCTGTCAGAGAATGGTAAGAGCATAGGAGGGCTCTGGGGCCTGGGCTAATGACTGAGTGGGTACAGAGGGGCTTTGGTGGTCCTGGTCAGGCTGGGAAGCCCAGTCCTTGTTGCTACTGAGTCTCTGTAAGAAATCATCCCTTGTCCCCTACTAGATGCCATGAACAATCCCAACCCCCCACCCTGTTCCACATAATCTCAGACCCAACAGTGGGCTCTGCCAGTGCTGAGTCCTGCCAGTTTTCGGCCTTGGCTCTTGGCAGTCCCATGTGTCATCTGACCTCAGCCTTCTCCAGCCACTTGCCGTGCCCTAGGTAGCCACACTTTCTTTTTCCTTTGGGCTTTTTGGTCCATGCTGGTCCCACTGCCTGGAATGTTTTGCTCTCCTGTGTTCCCCTAACTTCTATCCCCTGTGACTCAGTGTAAGGTTCTCTTCCTGTGAACCATCTCCCCAATAGGAGGCTGATTTAGAGGTGTGCCCATAGCATCCTGGGTGATGCATACGAGGTACATAGTAGGTGCTCAGTAAGTCCTTGCAGGCTGAATCTTAGGGCTTTGCTTTATAGCAGAGGGAGATGGTCCTATATTTTTAGATGTGGCTCTGGGCTCCTTAGAAGGTGTCCCAGGCTGATACCAGCGGGGGTGTGGGTGGTGACTTGAAGCTCTTATACTCATGGAAGAATGCATGTCTGCAGGAAGTGGGAGTTGAGGCACCCATGAAGCAGCACCACTCAGGCAGGAGGGGATAGCTCAGGCAGCCCATTATTTTTCCTGGAGACAAAGAGCTGAGGCCGGGTGAGATACCGTGCACTCAATTTCAGCACACTGACGGGCACAGAACAAGTGCTGCTCGCTGAGTTTCTGCCTACAGCTACCAGAAGGGGTACTGGGAGTTAGGAAGGAGGGGAAAGGAACAAGAAGATAGACAGTCCATGCCGAAGAGTTAAAATAAAGGAGAGGGGACCTCATGTCTCCCAGAGTTTCTGCCCTTCCCCCTTCCCTTCTTTTTAAAACAGTCTGAGTAGTCTGAGTTAATCCTGGTGGTGGCATCCTAACCCTTTCAACTGAACTACGCCCTCGGGAGTATAAACCTGACTATTCCCATGAAGAACACACATTCTGGGGCTAGTAGAGGGCATTTCCCTACGCCAGTGTCCACGGGCAGCTCTGAGGTCCAGGTCTCCCCCGGGGCCAGGACGCAGCAGTACTTAAATCCCCATGAGGTAGGGTTGCTTCTGCCTCTTAGGGAGAGAACTAAGGGGAAGAGGTTTGGAAAACCAACTCCTGTGTGCGGGAGGACACTTCTCATCAAGCCTCTGGTAGTCGGCCTCTGTGAGCCACAAGGAGTGATAAATGCCTTTTCCCCCCACCACCATCTGTGACTGTCAAACATTCGACCACAACCTCTGAGGCTGGGCAGCTGCCTTTTCCTGGCCAAATAAAATACAGAACGTCCCCAACTTAGAACAAGATGTATTCCAAAATAAAAACTTTTGGAAGTTACAACTTCCAGAAGTTTGTGAGTCTGGACATATTTCCCCATGGAAACATCAGGAACAGGTTTGGGCTCCCAGGGCCACCGCTGAGGTTTGGTTAACTCATGATAGGCCATCCAACCCCATCTAGAACATTGTTTTGCCTTTCCTCAAAATGAAACAGGGCAGGGATGGGGTGAGGATGGCTAGTCCCCTGTCTGGTACCAGAGGTCATATGTGTGTGGATAACAGAGGCCCCGCCTCAGCAGTGCCTGCAGTAGATCCACCTAGATCTTACTTCCGGAATTGGGGAACCAACGCACCTGCTCTTCCAGGGGCCACTCAGGCAGTAGAAAAGGCTGGGCCTCACCCGGCATGTGTAAACCAGGGAGGGCCTGGGGCAGCAGGCAAATGTGGCTCCCATGAGCAAGGAGCTTGGGGCAGGGCCAGGGGTGGATGGGCAAGGATGTTGCCAGAAGCCAGCAACTTCCTTCTCAGGTCCTCACAGGGTTGGTCGGGGGCCTACCGGATTCTCACAGTAATGACACAAGTCGTTGCCCCCAATGAAGAGTGTGACCAGCTTCCAGTCTTTCTCCAGGTTGATGTCCTGAGGGGACAGAAGATCTTGAGTTTAGACCTTGGTGGGAGGCACATGCAAATGTTGCTACTGGGCCAGCCCACCCGCCCTCCAACTGCCTTTTGTCTTCTTTGTATTGTAACAGAGCAAAGCAGCAAAGTGGGCCAGGTGCGGTGGCTCACGCCTGTAATCCCAGCACTTTGGGAGGCTGAGGCAGGTGGATCCCCAGAGGACAGGAGTTCAAGACCAGCCTGGCCAACATGGTGAAACCCCGTCTCCACTAAAACTACAAAAATTAGCTGGGCCTTGTGGCAGGTGCCTGTAGTCCCAGCTACTTGGGAGGCTGAGGCAAGAGAATTGCTTGAACCTGGGAGGCAGATGCTGCAGTGAGCTGAGATCGTGTCACTGCACTCAGCCTGGGTGACAGAGTGGGACCGTCTTAAAAAAAAAAAAAAACAACAAAAGTGTGGTTCCCTAGCCTTCAGTTGGTGCTGGGATAAGGTGCTCCACAGTGAGGATTTTTTTTAGGGGGTGGGGTGGGGGAGTCTGCTTACACAAGGGAGAAGGGCTATTTTCCCCTTGAAATCTTGTGTCCCTGGAGAAGTAGAATGTGGATGTGGCCCATTAAATGCCGAGGAGATTACCACCCCCCACCGCCCCACCCCCACCGCCAAATGAAGGCCTTCCAGGGAGCTGCGGGCAAAGGATGCAGCTAGAAGCAAAGGCCCCGAGCTGCCCCTGGGATGAGTTCTTAGGGTCCGGGAAAGGAGGCTGGAGGAAGAGCCCAGCGTGGGCTGAGAAGTGGGGCTGGGGCTGGGAGGCCCTCTAAGCAGTTGGCTTTCCACTTTGCCACCTCCATAATAGGAATCCCACTGGGAGCTGAATTCCTAGGTATAAACACTGAACAGTAAAAAAAAAAAAAAAAAGTGCCAGTGAGAAGTTTCAGAGGGGCAGGGTGAGGGGAAGGAGGGAGAACGGGATTGAAATGAGAAGCCTCTTTTTAGAGCCTTGCATTTACATAATAGGACTCCGGGAAGCCACCTCTTGGTTAAAGTAGGAAGCTGTCAGAGGCCAAGGCCACCACCTCAGCCAACTCCCTGTTCCACCTCGCCCTCCTGCAGCTGGCCCTGGGGTGGGGGGTGCCAGAGCCTACATCCAGGGGTGTGGCCAAAGCAGGCGCCTCCTTGGTAAGGCCTGCTTCTCCGGGGATCTTTTGGCCCTCTACAGAGGCCAGCCCAGAGCAGGAAGTGCTGTGGTGAGAGGGACCCTTATGGGGCTGTCCCCTCCCCAGTCAGCAGGAGATGGGCACCTTTCAGGGGTGGCCTGGGGCCTATACTCACGGGACTGTTTTTCATTCGCTCTACCAGGTCCCAGGCCTGGGCTGGCATGTCCCTAGGTAGGAGGAAGAGAGAGCGGCGTTAGTGCTGGTTCAGGAGCGAGGACTCAAGATGTGGGATTTTGGCCTAGGAAGAGATGTGTTTCAGGAACGGTGATGTTACCAGTACACAATTCATTCCATTCTCAAGAAATCTCAGCTGCGTAACAATCACAGAGATGCCATGGACCCTGGAGCCACACTGATCTAGCCCCTGCCACCCAATAGTGTCATCGGCCACTCGGGTTGGGATCCTGTCAATCTTCCCCTCAGAGACTTTTCCTCAAGCTCCTTCTTTGAAAGCCAAGCCTGTTCATTTCTTCTTCAGTTGCCTGTTTTAAAAATAACCTTTTGTGGCCGGGCGCGGTGGCTCAAGCCTGTAATCCCAGCACTTTGGGAGGCCGAGATGGGCGGATCACGAGGTCAGGAGATCGAGACCATCCTGGCTAACGCGGTGAAACCCTGTCTCTACTAAAAAATTCAAAAAAACTAGCGGGCGAGGTGGCGGGGGCGTGTAGTCCCAGCTACTCCTAGGCTGAGGCAGGAGAATGGCGTGAACCTGGGAGGCGGAGCTTGCAGTGAGCTGAGATCCGGACACTGCACTCCAGCCTGGGTGACAGAGCAAGACTCCGTCTCAAAAAAAAATAAAAATAAAAATAACCTTTTGTATATTTGAGAAAAGTCACAGCGCTCAATTATCCCTCAGTTTTCTCCTTTCCAGGCTTAATGACTCCTTTAACCTTTACTTCTAAGCCCTGCTCTCTGCTCCTTTAATCCTTTTGTTTTTCTTCTCCGTGGTTACTTAGATTTCTGCACCATTCGCCATCTCCTTGCTTTTTTTCCCCCCCCTTTCCAATAAAACAGGATGGACAGGATTAGTTCTCCCTCCATCCCCTGATGTCTGCCATAAATAGATCAACACCATTTGGTGTTCTGGATGAGTGATATGAGTGCCAATGGAACGCTACTCAGCCATAAAAAGGGATGAACTATTGGTATACCAGTAACATGGATGCGTCGCAAAATCATTTTGCTAAATAAGTCAGATAAAAAGTATATCCTCTTTGATCCCATTTATATAAAATTTTTTAAAATGCAAACTAATCTATAGTGATGGAAAGAAGGTTAGTGGTTGCCTGGGGTGTGGGGGTAGGGACAGGAAGGAGCAGGAGGGAGAGATTACCAAGGAGCCTGAGAAAACTCCTGTAGGTGATGGACACGTTTTTCATCTTGATCGTGGTGATGACTTCACAGGTACAATGTTAAATTGTATCCTTTTTGAGACAGGGTCTTGCTCTGTTGCCCAGGCTGGAGTGTAGTGGTGTGATCATGGCTCACTGCAGCCTCAACCCCCTGGAGCTCAAGTGATCTTCCCATCTCAGCCTCCTGAGTAGCTGGGACTACAGGCCCATACCACCATGCCTGGCTAATTTTTTGTATTTTTGGTAGAGACGGGGTTTCAGGATGTTGCTCAGACTGGTCTCCAACTCCTGGGCAATCCGCCTACCTCGGCCTCCCAAAGTGCTGGGATTAGAGGCGTGAGCCACTGCACCCAGCCAAATTGTATCCTTTTAACATGTGATGTTTATTGCATGTCATTTATACCTCAATGAAGCTGTGTTTAAAGAAATGTCTATGAGAAGTTAGGTCAGCAAAGGGGATACAGCCAATGAAAGCTTCCACGGAAGAAGCCATAAAAGCAGTAACTGGTGTGAGTTGGCCACTGAAAATCTTTGGGTGTCCCCAGTAAGCTAGGTACGTGGCACCATCCCTACCTTGTTTCTCATTAAGGAGAATTTACAGATCCAGGATTGTATCCCATACATTATTGCTATTGATGAGTACATCAGAAAGCTAGCTATAAAGACAGACTTTCCTGGTCAAAGGTGACCACAGAAGTGCCATTAACCTTTTAATAGGTTCAAGATGTGACTAAGACAATCCATGGGCAATAAGCCCTCCTGGGTAGGAGGGGAAGTTACAAACACTGCTTCTTCCCCTCTTCCTAGCCATCTTCTTCCCATCCTTCAGGCCCAGACCAAGTCCTGCTTCCCCTTGAGCCTCCTCTCTGGGCTCACTGATCCACACATCCTGTATTTCCTTTTTCACCCCAGCGACCAGTGGTTCTACTTTCAGCTCTGCTACTGACTTGCTGGGTGAGCTTGTACAAGTGGCAGAATCTTGCTAGAATTGACTTTTTCCATCTTTTAAAGGAAGAAGTTGGACTGGATGATTTCAGGGGTCCCTTCTGGGTCTGCATCTGTCTTTAGACAGTGCATTTCACACTGTGTGCTCTCCTGTTCTCTCAATTGTACTCCATGACGAAGCACTATATTGCTGCCATACCCAGCATTTTCTTTTGCGGAAAGTTACTTCCCATTTGTTTAGTCTCCTTACCTAGAGTGCAAGCTCTTCATGGGCAGGGAGTTCATCTTTTGTTTCCTTTGTATCTTTTATTTATTTTTGGAGATGGAGATTCATTCTTGTCATCCAGGCTGGAGTGCAATGGCACGATCTTGGCTCACTGCAGCCTCCACTTCCTGGGTTCAAGTGATTCTCCTGCCTTAGCCTCCTGTGTAGCTGGGATTACAGGTGTGTACCATCAAACCCAGCTAATTTTTGATTTTAGTAAAGACAGGTTTTCACTATGTTGGCTAAGCTGGTCTTGAACTCCTGACTTCAGGTGATCCACCCACCTCAGCCTCCCAATGTGCTGGGATTACAGGTGTGAGCCACCATGCCTGGCCCTTTGTATCTTTGAGTAACCACCTTGGGGTTGAGTCCTTTGCAGGTGTTGAATGAATTATTATTGATTGATGGAAGGAAAGTTAGGTTAAAAAAACTTTGAAACTAAAGGTCATTAAATGGCAAACTTTTGGTACATTTGTACTGTGCTACTTTTTTGGTGGGTATTACATACTGTACTACATTCTTTTCATGGATTATATGTCTTATTTAATGCTTATGACAATGCTGATAAATACTATTATTATTCCTATTTATTGCTGAAGAAACTAAGACTCAGAGATGCTAGGCAACTTGCCCAGAGTCACACAGCTAGCAAGTCTTGGAGCTGGAATGTAGACACAAATTACCTGACCCCACACCCTATGATATTAGGTACTCTGCTGTGGCACGTTTGTTTCTCTTTGGGTGAACTCATCTGTATCTATGCTAATAAACAACAGAATAGAGATAAAGGAAAGTTATAGAGCAATTATCCAACCTTCCTTTCTTAAGTCAAAGGATTACTTTCCTTTCCCCTAACATCAGACATCAGAGATACCCACAAGAAACCACATGTCTCAACTACTTCCCTGGCCACTGACTTCATCTGGCAGAGGTGCTGAGCAGCAGTCAAAGAGAAAAGGCAGTAAGAGAAGTGAAGTGAGGAAGGAAGAAGGGGTTTAATTGTCAACAGAGTGAGAAATCAACCCCTGGAAAATGAAGCCTGTACTGTAGAAGAACAATAGAATGATGATAACAATGATAGCAATCATAATAACAGTAATTAGATGTTGCTATAATGACCCCACAAAGCCCAGTTTTTGCAGAAAAATAAGTTCTTCCTGCTCGTGACGTTGAGGAACTGACATCGCTTCCTGTGGCTTAGAGACTCAAACAGAGCATGGGGCCCACGTTACCACTTCTGAAAGGAACATTCCCGGTAAACAGAGTGAGTCAAGCCAGTGTCGTTTCCCTGGTGATCAGAGCATAGTGATCCTTCTACAAAGCATACACCCAGCACGCTCCATGCAGAAAATCGGTGAGGCTGGTCAGGCATTTCAGCTTTAATTATCTGAGTTGTTGTCAACAACAATCCCAGTGAAAACAAACAGCCACCATGCTGTTTTGGGGGCCCTGACGCCTAACTCCCTAGTGTCAGAATATAGCTTTTTCAGAGCCAAAGACTGAAGAGAGGTGGGGAGAGAGAAAGGGCAGCTATCACCGGGGTCATGCACTCAGTTCTCCAGGTGCTGAGAGCCACCCTGCATGTGTGACCTGCTGGGCAGGAGGTGGAGCTGGAGCCAGCAGGGACAGCGCAGGAGTGCAGGGTAGATGTGCCACCTCCTGCTGCCCTGGAGAGGTGGTAATAGCACAGCTGTCAGAGCAAAGGCTCCTGATTCAGGCATGGTCTGATCCTGCCTCCTCTGATAACTTGCCGGATAATCTTGGTGGTTCTGGAAAGCTTATAAGCCTCAGTGCCCCTGTCCAAGGGTGTGAGGATCTCAGGAGATAATTCACGTGGAAAGTCCTGCACAGCTGCTACTGCCCCTGGGACCAGGCTCCTGGATGCCACCCTCCTCTCCTCTGGTTTCCCACCCTGATGTCTCAGCCTTGCCTTCCACTCGCCCTCCTGTATGGCATCTACTCACCTAGCTCTGGCCCCTTCCACTGCCACATTTAGTCCTGCTGTCCCCTCCAAGGTGCCGGTAGAGAAGCCAAGAAGGTAAGGGTTGAACTTCTTCAGAATATCTTTAGAGGAGGAGGAGGAGAGCACAGGTGAGAGCCTGCAGGACCCTCACAGTAACTGAGATAAGCATGCAGGGTGGGGACACACGGGTGGGACACAGGAGTTCTGGGGATTTTCAGGGCTGGCTGACTTCCCTCATTGCAGATGACCTCCTCTTCCCCTCCTCTAGCAGGAAGGCCCTGGCCCCAGGGAGGATGGCCACAGTGATGGTGCCTCTCCAGGCTGCTACTTACTGGGCAGTGTGGTGTGAGTCTCCAAGTTCCCATCCCCTCCGATGCTGGGGAGGAGAAAACATATTTATTAAAATCACGCCAACATGCTGCTCCGTGTGTCAACATATGCATAAGTCAGAACCAGAGATTCTGCCCCTGGGGCATCTCTCCCATCACCCTCAGTGGTAATGCAAGCACCACTGACTCTCCTGTCTCGCGCTGGGCCCTGGGGACCCAACTGCATCCTGGAGGGGTGACAGGGGAAACACACTACTCATGCCTCTTTGAGTCAGCATCATCAATAGAGCATGTGTCAAGAACATTCTCACCTCCAAGAAAGACCCCTCCAAGATGTGGGTAGGTCACTGGAGTTGTTTGGTCGAGCTCCCACTGCTGTCTATAAAAAGCAAAAAGAAATTTCAGGGCTGGGCTGAGGGCACTGGAAGAGCCTCCTCTGGCCCTGGAGTAGCATTTGGGACCTGGATTTGCCTTTTCTAAAAATAGTACCAGCTTTTCTCCAGGCCACCTTAAACTTGGAGTGGTCTTGATACATTCTTCTCTCCAGTACTCTACCTACAACCAGTAACCGAGTCCTGTTGGTTCCACCTTCCCACCCTCCCTAGCACCTGCCCCTTTCTTTTTGTTCCCTTTGCCATGTTCCTAATTGAGACCCTCACCTCCGTGCCACGGGCAACACCCTGGCCTCCTGCCTGAGCAAACTGACTCCAGTTTGTGTTCCTCCTGAACATGCCTCTTTCTTCATGTTCCCCAACCCCAGTCCTGACCCTTCAATGAGTCTCCCTTACCTTCAAGATCAAAGCCAAATCCCTTCACCAATCTTCTGAGGTCACCATAATCTGGTTTCTACTTTCCTTCCCCTTGTTTGCTCCCTCCTTCCCAGTCCACACAAACCTTCAGGCCTAAACTAATTACCTGCCATTATTTTGGAAGCCTGAGGGCCCTGAGCTGGTCTACCCCATTACCACCCACTCCCATCCCCTCCTGGAATGCTGAACTCCCTCCTTTCCAGCACCTTACATTTCCAAATTCATTCTCTGAGACCCTCATCAGTTCCTATCTCCTCTATAAAGCTTTCTCTAAATGCTCTGCCTTAAAAAAAAAAAAAAAAAAAACCCTTGAAATTTACAAAAGTAACATATGTTAAACGATACAAAGATTTAAACAAATGAATGATCTACCCCTACCTTAAGAATCCTGCCTCTTGCCACAGATTCCACACTCCCTCCTCACCCCTTACCCACATGCAAATACCACCAGAGCTCATTAGTGGTAAACAGACTCGTATGTGCCTTTCCACATCTTTTTCCACGTTCACGCCAAAATGGAAACCGCCACACATGTGGGGCTGGTGTTTGTTTCTACCGAAATAAATACCCTATTTTAAAAGTCCCCTGTGGAGAGGAACAACGCACGCCGGGGCCTATCAGACAGTGGAGGATGGGAGGAGGGAGAGGATCAGGAAAAATAACTCAGGGGTACTAGGCTTAATACCTGGGTGATGAAATAATCTTTGCAACAAACCCCATGCCATAAGTTTACCTGTGTAACAAACCTGCACATGGACCCCTGAACTTAAAAGTTAAAAAATAAAAACATCCAAGTCCTATATGTCATCTAGGTGATTATGCATTTCTTTCCGTGTATGGTTCTTGTTTTTGTAGCCAGACAGGTTGCTGGGGGGATATGACTGTGTTTCATACCTTATTTCCCTTAGAATTGCTAATAGAGTATTGTTGTACACAGCAATGGCTAAGTAATCAGGGAACACAATTCACTTAGCAAGACTGTGCTATGTGCGAGGAACTGGGCTCCCTCTGCCCCAAAGCACATGTCCTTAAATGGAGTAGGGAGCATGGGGCAGTGTGTGTGTGTGTAAGATCTGCCACTCTGAGTCTGGGTAGATGGAGATGGGTCCCTTGATAAAGGCAGGCCAACTTGGATGAGTGCCATCACATACCAACAAAACGCCTGTGCCTGCAAACAGCGGGGAAGGCTGGGATTGCTTCTCCCTGGGAATTGAGAGGAGGCCTCGTGGAGGAGGGGGCTTTGAGCAGAACTGGGAAGGTGGCGAGACAGGGCATTCTATATCGCCTGACTGTGTTTCAGTGTCGGACACAGGTACGCCCTCAGTAACGGGCTCAGCACTGAATGTGGAGCCAATGCTGGGGAAGAACAGATTTTGCACGAGGCCTGGCTGGACTCTGAGCTGCCCATCCTGGTTCACGGCTCACTACTCACAGTCAGAGAGTCACCCAGGGCGGCCACCACTTTGATGTCTGCTGGTTGGAGCTGGTGGACTAGGGGAGACAAGCAGAGAGGTGGTTGTGGGGGCTGGGGGTGTCTACCTTTTAAAGTACACATTTTACCAGAAGTCTATAACTCTGTCCCACTGCTCCCCATTGTACTTATTTTCAGCTTAAGGCTTTAGCAGTTTTGCCCCTTCCATTCATTCAGAGCAACCAAGGCACTGAAGGGAGTGGGCTTCATGGCTGTTGTCCATCCTCAGAAGAGCCTGATTCACACTGGGGTGGTCCAGGAAAGTTCCAGCTGTGGGGTCATGTAGCACAGGCAGGTTGAACCCCAATCCCTGACTCTATCTGCCTCACTGGGCAGGGAGGCCTAAGGGACTGCCACTGGGACTATAAGGAGACAAGAAGTAGCATTCAGTGGAGAGGTCTGTGCACCTCCAACTGGAAGCCCAGCTGTGGCTGCAGGGTGGGATCTAGGTCTGCACTGCATGGGAATTAGCAAGTCCTGCTTACAGCTCCAGGGTGTATTTGTAAGGTCTCCCCCAACCTGATATTTGGCAAGGCCCTTAATTGAAGGGGATGATGATATTTTCACTCACCAGAGGTTGGAACACTATTGGAAGCCTTCCACTCTGTACACACGAAGTCACTGCCCCAGTTCTAAACCAACAGGAGAAAAGATTCAGTGCCCAACACTCATTGTGCAGGGAGATAAACTTCAGCCCAAGAAGAACCAGCTAAGGGATTTTTGATGCAGGCTAGAAACGAGTCACCATACAGGATCATGTAAGGGAAAGAACTGTGAGCTATAGATGGGCTAGGAGGGAAATTAGGGGAAGAAATGGGTGTGTCTAGCTACCCCTATGCACAACCCATAGTGCATGTCCCCACATGTGCACCCACACACAACCTTTCTTATGCCAATATGTCTACGCTTTGAATGGAGCCAGTGGCTGCCCTAAAGCAGGGAAGAAAACCATGAAGTCATATACAGGTGAGTCTCCCAAAGGAACACAGCATTTGGATGCCTAACATGAGATTACAGGTATGTGTGTTTTATAAAATTAAGCGAATTGACACTAATTATAATGCTAGAACCTAAACAATAATTAAAAGATTTTTAGAATAGTAACACAAAATATTTTACAATTGTAAGGCTCCTAGTTTCTGCCTATCTTTTCTGGATACCTGTATGTCTTTTTACATATTTAACTTAACAGCCTTATTCCTTTTATGTTTGTTAATTAATGCAAGCAACCCTGGATGCTTTTAGTAAATTTTCTTTATCTCTAACACAGAGCATATTTTCCAGGTGCTGGGGGAAGGAGTGGGAAGGGAAGCAGAGGGCACAGAAATGATTAGTACCAAAAATCTGGGGGCAAATTGAATATCTTCCCAAAGTCCCAAATATATGCATGCTGAGTGCGGAGTAGGGCTTGACCAGGTTGACTGATTGTCCAGGAGTCTGACTGTCAGACACTATGAAAACTTATCCATCTCTTCAATCAGATGATGAAGACAAGCCTTGTTGAAATATTCCTATCATGAGGGAGCAAAAATGGAACTTTTAAATATTATTTGCTTAGTCCAATGGAATTTAGTTTTTTCCAAGGGACTGCTCAATTCATCATACTGATGGATTTCTTCTGTTGAAAGGTTTAATGAAATCAAGAACATGCTTGTGTGTAGATGACAAATACTCAGAGAAAATGCAACGTAAAAAGTTATTCAGCCATCAGCACATGAGATATAGCTCAGATAGTTGGTGAACCAGAGACAAGCGTATTCCGTGTAGATAAACAGACCCTGGCTGGAATTTAAATGTGCTCGTCTGTCACAAGGGAAGAACCATGCACCACATCCAAAATCAGTGCATCCAAATCCCCTGAAGATCTTAAGCTGCAGATTCTGATTCAGCAGGTCTGGGGTGGTACGCAGGACTCTGCATTTCTAACAAGCTATCAGGTAAAGCCTCTTTGTGCCTACTTTATCAGTTTTGCTTTTATTATTTTTAATTGACATATAAGTGTACATATTTATGAGGCATAGTATATTTTGATACATCTCTACAATGTGCAGTGATCAAATCAGGGTTATTAGCATATCCCTCACTTCAAATATTTATCGTTTCTTTGTGTTGGGAACATTCAAAATCTGCTGTTCTAGCTATTTGAAAATATATGGTAAACTGTTAACTATAGTCACCCTACTGTGCCACAGAACACTAGAAATTATCCTTCCTATCTAGCTATAATTTTCTGTTAATCAATTTCTGCTATCCCTACTCTGCAACCACCATCCACCCTTCCCAGCCTCTAATAACCGCTATTTATACTCTACTTCTGTGAAGTCAACTTCTTTAGCTTCCGCATATGGTGAGAACATGTAGTATTTGTCTTTCTGTGCCTGACTTATTTCACTGAACGTTATATCCTCTAGGCTCACCCATGCTACCTCAGATGACAGAATTTTGTTTCTGTGGCTGCTTTGAGTAGAAAGCTGTTAACACACGCCCTTCTGGCTCTGGGATTTTTAGCTTTTCCAGCAGCAAAAGCAAAGACACATGAGACTGAAGAACCAAGAGGGCAGATCCAGACCCATTCAGCTCACCATTGTCTACCCAGCATTTAGCATAGTGCCCACTCCACGTAGGCATCCAACAGGTAAATGTTGAATCAATGAAGAAATGCCTGATTCACAAGATGCAGCTGACATTTCAATTCTCATGGAATTTGGTCACTGGTTCAATGAGGACAAGCCTCCACTGGGCTAACGTGAGCCTGAGAAAATTCAGAGAGGCTGGACACAGCATAACCTGCAGCCAGCAATCTGGTATTGCTTGTACTGCAGAGCTTAGCATCCAACAGTTCTTAACCATTTCATATGGGTTAGTTTCTTCAGCTGGCTTATAAAATGTCTTTCCCCAATCACTCCTGCAGATGCCCAATCCATTCTACAGATACAGTCAGGGAGATCTTTGAAAGACATGAACCAGATCATGCCACTCTCTCCTGAGACCGCCAAAGGCTTCCCACCTTTCTTCACTTGAAATCCAACGTTTTTACTCAGGAATTCAGGCTTTGTGTGATCTGGCTCCTTGGCACTCCTGATCTCATTTTCCCCACTCTCCACCTCATTCTCATGCCCCTAGTCACTCTGACCACCTCTCTCTTCCCCAAATACACCCAACACAGTCCCACTTCTAAGCCCGTGTGGTCCATGGTCCTTCTGCCTGGGACTGTGTTTCTGGCTCTCTGTGTAGCAGGCATCTCTTCATTATGCACGTCTCAGTTTAAATCTCCCCTCAGAGAGGCCAGGCCTGCACGGTGCACCTGAATGTGCCTCCCTTGCCCCGGCCCCATCACCCTCCTTAGAGCTGTCATCACTATCTGAAATGACCATGCCTAGCCATGTATATAAGATGCCTTTCTCTGTAGATTGTAAGTTACGTGAGGGCCGGGATCCACCTGTCTGGTTGACACTTCTGTCTTCCTGGAATGGTGTCTGGCACATAGTATGTGCTCAATAATTGTGAAACTCTACTGGGCTCTCACTTCTCCTGGTCTGGACCCTGTTCGATACTTCTCTGCATGCCTTCTAGCCCCCAGCATGAGACTGGATATAATATAGGTGTGAAACCGAAACTGCTGGTCGAACCCCATCCTGGTGACCAACAGACCTGATCTGGACCAGGCCTGACTGCCAGTCATGGTGTAGTCCAGGGTCCTCCAGGCCATCTTTGCGGTGGCCGTCCTAGGCTCACAGACACGGTCCATCCAATGGAATTAACCATGGGCTCTGAATCCTTAGCACTAGAATGACTGACTTGAACCAGACAAGGCCTAGGGGCCCACAGGAACATGAACATGAACATGAACATGCCTCCACTTCCTTTTGGGCCCCACCCCTGAAATTGCAGTTCCCTCCCACTCAGCTTCCACCTTCTGAGAAGTCAACGCCACATCACCCCCGCAGCCTCTCCCTCTTGAGAGGCTGAGCTGCTTAAGCAGTCACCACGTCTGTGAGCCCAGGATTGCCAAGGTCAAAGAAAATCAATCCACAGGCACTTCCTCTGCTTGGGGGCTGACGTCAGGTAAGCAACTTGAGAACATGTTAGGGCAATCCTGGGGCTTCGTGGTTGGGGAACCTTTTCTGTACATTCCAATCCCCAGTACGTACGAAGCACATTTCTGCTTCAGTGAACGCTCTGAAGCCTGCACCACACCCGAGCCCCTGGCAGGTGGAAATGGTTTGTGTCTGAGAGACGCAGAGGTGAGTCAGGGGTTACCTCAGTGGCTGGCTTGGTGGGGTATGTGTAGTTACTGTTCCGAGGGGTCCTCAGGAAGGGCTCATTCTAAGAGAAAAGAAACCACATGGAGAGGTTATCTGACAGCACTGAAGTTTGCTTGCGAAGGAGAAAAACTAACAATCCTGCCCTGTGGATTTATTTAACATGATTCTTCTGCACTTCTATAGAAAGAACTATATAAACATAATTTCATTCATTTTCCAGAGGGTTTTACATAACAGCTCTGGCAAGGGATGGACAACACAAGGCCCGCAGAGGGTTTCATACCCATTGCAGTCTGGGGTCTGCACTTCTGTGCCCCTCCTAGCAACTGAACAGCTCCCTAATCCTCAGACCTCTCTATTTTCTTGGCTTCGTAATTTCTCTAGCAAGGGATTCATGTTTCAGCATTTTTTTTTCTCTTCCAGAAAGTACTATGATTATCAATATATTTGAATATCTGTTATGTTTTTTCTTTCTGCCTCCTTTGAACTATATGTCTTATCCTCTTTAGGTTGGGTTCCTGTATCTTAGTCATTTTTTTTTCTTGTAAAACATCCTCCTTATTCTCTACTTACCTATCTGTTTCACAATCAGTTTTCACACAAGCCCAGTCAAGAACCCAAGTCCACCCAGTTGCAGGTAAGGGGTTAATTAAAGAAGGAAGAAGGAAGCAGACAAAGGAGAAATGGGGAGAAAGCTAATGAGAAAACGTAAAAATGACAGGGAAGCAAGATCAAGTTGATAAGACTGAGATCAGGAAACACCAACTGGGCCCAGGCTGTGTACTCCCACAAAATGTGCTCAGTGGAGTAGTAAGCCCATGGTCTGAAAATTTGGGAATAAAATGGGAACAAGCAGAAAAAACCAGGCTGATGCAGTGGCTCATGCCTGTATTCCCAGCGTTTTGGGAGGCCAGGGTAGGAGGATTGCTTAGGGCCAAGAGTTTAATACCAGCTTGGGAAACACAGCAAGACCCCATCTCTACAACAAATTACAAAAATAAATTAGCTCAACATGGTGGCATGTGCATGTAGTCCTAACTACTCAAGAGGCTGAGGCAGAAGGATTGCTTGAACCCAGGAGTTTGTGGTTACAGTGAGCTATAATTGTGCCGGTGTACTCCAGCCTGGGCAACAGAGTGAGATTCTGTTTCAATTAAAAAAAAAAAAAAAATTTAGACTGGGTGCAGTGGCTCACACCTGTAACCCCAGCACTTTGGGAGGCCAATGGGCGGGGGGGTTGATCACATGAGGCCAGGAGTTCGAGACCAGGCTGGACAACATGGACCCTGTCTGTACTAAAAATCCAAAAAAAAAAAAAAAAAAAAAAATTAGCTAGGTGTGGTGGTACACACCTGTAATCCCAGCTACTTGAGAGGTTGAGGCACGAGAATTATTTGAACCTGGGAGGCAGGGGTTGCAGTAAGCTGATATCGTACCAGTGCACTCCAGCCTGGGTGACAGAGCAAGACTCTGTTTCAAAAAAAAGGAAAGGGAAAACCAGAATGTTGGAAAAGTGATCTTGTCTCATACCTGACCACATGTACACAACCATGTTCTTGCCTGGCATTGTAGGTGACTGACTTTGCACCCCCCAAATGCCCCACTTTACAGATGAGCAGAAGCTGAGCCTGAGTGAGGAAGGGACTGCTTCCAGGTTAGGGAACAAGTGATGAATGCCCAACTTGTGCCAGAGCTGACCGGACCGGCCTCTTGCCTGGTTCCATTCCTCACACTGGAGGTCAGGTCAACAAAAACCCTGTTGGTCAGACAGCGGGAAAGGAAGAGACTGGGAGGACAGAGTCCACCCACACAGACCTCTCAGGTCCCAGCTCAGATCCTGGTTCCCTGAGGCACCCGACAAGTCTTCCCTTTCCTCTGGTCTCAGCAGTCCTGTCTGAAACAGGGGCTGGTAACGGATATCCTTTCTTTCTTTTTTTTTTTTTTTCTGAGACAGAGTCTTGCTCTGTCTCCCAGGCTGGAGTGCAGTGGCGCGATCTCTGCGTCCTGGGTTCACACCATTCTCCTGCCTCAGCCTCCCGAGTAGCTGGGACTATAGGCGCCTGCCACCACACCCGGCTATTATTATTATTATTTTTTATTTTTTGTATTTTTAGTAGAGACAGGGGTTTCACCATGTTAGCCAGGATGGTCTCGATCTCCTGACCTCGTGATCCACCTGCCTCAGCCTCCCAAAGTGCTGGAATTACAGACATGAGCCACCGTGCCCGGCCCCTGACATCCTTTCAAGGACAGGTACTCAGGGCCAAGTGGGAGAAGTGAGCCCTGGACCATCTACAACAGCATAAGACAGAAGAGGGCTTATGGTGGCAGGTCCATGTAGCTACTTGGGCTTGTCTCGGGTTAACAGCAAGCATTCCCTCAGCATTCGCCAACAGAGAGGGTGATCTGGGAGCATTCTATAACTAACTGACCCACGCTGGTTGAGCAGCCGCAGCGTTAGAGTGTTTCTAGGTGCCAGGATGAGGGGAGGAGAGAAAGAGACAACTGGCTTGGGTGGGGAGACAGACTTGAGAAGTTGAGGCAGTGAAGCATCAGAGAACGGCGTGGCCAGTCAGGGCAGCACCTGCTGAGGAACTGGGGCAAGATCTGGAGATGTAGGGTCCTCGGAGACAAGACTCAGTGGCATTCTCCCTGCACTTCAAAGGAGCCCAGACTGGGCTTAGAGAGTCCAGCGGCTGGAGCCAGTCCTACCGTGACCAGCATGGGAGGCACTGAGGGAAATACAAAGCTGACGTTTTTGGAAGTGCCGCGAGTGCAACTGGAGAACGTGTTTCACTGAATCTGTTTGATCACAAGATCTACAGGTTGGGGAAAAGGAGGCAGAGCTAGAGGGCCAGAGGTCAAGGAGACACTGGAATGTCTTACAGACTGAGGCCGCGGCAAGGACAGAAACAGCCCAGGGTTGTGGCGGGTGCCTCAGGGCTTTCTCCCACTCCCCTTCTTTTCTTTTTTTCCCAACTCCTATGTCCCTGTCTAATGGGTTTTTATTGGGTTTTATTGGGCTTGTTTTTAGCTGAGTTTATTGACCATTGACCACTTGGTACATGCATGAGTCAGAGTGGTTTAAAGGCCTGGAGCCAAGCGGATGACGTGAAAGATGGGTTCGATGGAGCCTGACTGGCTCTTGAAGGCTAGGTTTGGAGCCCCCATGAGTAAAAGGGGAGCCAACTGAATGGTAGCGCAAGGAACCAGTCTAGTAGTTCCAGCCATGCAAAGATGGTGTGGGCTGCCTGGGGAGGCAGAGCCCAGACAGCCTCCTGATGTGAGTCAGCAACGTGAGTCAGTGGCTGCGGGACAAGGCCATTAACATCCTGGCTGCATTACTAGGTGTAACATTCCACAGGGAAGGAGGCGTGATTTTCTTCTCCTCTGTGCCGGTTGGATGAAACCAGACGTACAGTCGCCACCTTACAGGGGGCCACATTCCAAGGAGAAATACCCATATGAGGCAGGGGTTGGCAGCCATGTGTGCAATGAGTGGTTGGAACTGAGAAGACTCTCAGCTGGGTGGTGGTAGTCAGAGGCAGGAGGACATAATGGTATTTCATGGGATGTCCTATGAGGTTTTCTATCGCATTCCATTCAAAAAGTGCTAGCACCGGGTGTGGTGGTTCACACCTGTAATCCCAGCACTTTGGGAGGCCAATGTGGGAAGATTGCTTGAGCTCAGGAGTTTGAGACCAGCCTGGGCAATAGAATGAGACCCCATCACTATTAATTAAAAAAAAAAAAGTGCTGGTTCCTACCTACACTGATTTCGGGTGGTTTGAAAGCTCACCTTAAGAAAGTGTGAACATTTGGGGATGGAGAACATTAGGACAAATACTTAATGCATGCACAGCTTAAAATCTAGATGACAGGTTGATATGTACAGCAAACCACCATGGCACATGTATACCTCTGTAACAAACCTGCACCTTCTGCACATGTATCCTGGAACTTAAAATAAATTTTAAAAAAACTGTGAACATTTAAGCAGAGGCCATAGGGTGTCTTGGGAGGGATGTGGTAGAAGAATTCCATTATTCTCTGAGAGATTGCATCCACAGAAGTCTAAGGCCCTCCCCACTGAGAACCTAAGATTACGTAAGTCTATTGTTTCATGGTGGGAAGGTGGGACTAGGTAGCCTTTAACGTACAAAGTGATGAGGATCTGAGCCCCTGCAGTGGCAGTGGGAATGGGAAGAGGGACAGGTGGGAAGAATCCTATTAGATTCTGGAGGACTGGTAGGAATCCTATTAGATAGGGTCCCTGACATTTCATGCCGGCAGAACTTGAAAACTCCAATGACACTGACAGAAATAGAGAACTCCTAAGAAGCAGAGAGTTTGGGAAGACAAAGAATTAGTTCCCATTTAGACACTCCTTGCTCAGAAAATTATTTTTTGAATGAATGTGAAGCTTGAGATGGTGGTGGGGTCATGGCAGGATTAGATTTAGAAGCTCTCAGCATCAAAAAGATAACAATGTCACCTATGTAATTCAATATAAAAACACTGCTGGACAGAAAACTAAGTTTAAGGGAATTTGACAGACTTCTGCTTTTTCTTACGAGAAAAGACAGGGTGTAATACATGAACTTATTTCAGCCCCCCTCCTGCTTGATCATACATTAATCTGCCTTTTGGGTAGCCTTATACCATATAGAGCATCCAAGGAGAAATGTATTTTAAAGGTCGGAAATAGAGGATTGGAGTTCGGGAAAGAAGAAATGAAGACACAGATTGAGAGACTGACGAATCCAGCACAAAGAAATTTCACAGGAAATCCTGGAAATGGGTAAGTCTCAGAGTGAGAGGATGTGGAGACAGAGAAAAGAAAACAGAGGCCAGGCACAGCAGCTCACACCCGTAATCCCAGCTCTTTGGAAGGCTGAGGCTGGTGGATCACTTGAGTCCAGAGTTCAAAACCAGCCTGAGCAACACGGCAAGACCCCACCTCTACCAAAACAAACAAACAAACAAACCAAAATTAGCTGGGCATGGTGGTGCATGCCTGCAGTACCAGCTACTCAGGAGACTGAGGTGGGAGGATGGCTTGAGCCCAGGAGTTCAAGGCTGCAGTGAGCTGTGATTGCTCCACTCACTTCCAGCCTGGGAGACTGAGCAAGACCCTGTTTCAAAAAGCGAGTGAAAAAGGAAAGAAAACAGAATGGAGACATGAAAACTGGAGAATATCTACATTTTCAAGACTGGGGAAAGGGAGGAGGAGGGTCATTAAAGGCAGCAACCAGAAGACCAGAAAAATAAAGGCGATTTAGTGTCCACAAACCCAGGAAGGAGTGAATTTCAAGGGGGAGGTGTTGACCTTTGACAAGGGCTTCAGAGAGGTCAAGAAGAATGAAAGCTAAAAAAAGGACCAGGCATTCAGCCAGTTGCCCTGGGGTTAGGAAAGGACTGGGCAGAAAGCCCATTAAGGCAGAGTATAGGCTCAGTCCACAGAATGGCTAGTCAAAAGTTGGCTGTAAAAGGACTGTCCAACTTGAAAGTACAACAGAAATCCACGGTATGCTGTTAAGTCACCCTACCTGGCTCGCAGAATGTATGAGCAGTTAGACTGAGGATGGGAGGAGGCTGAGAAAGCTCATGCTCACAGCCATCTCGGCCTCCTGCCTCCCGCCCCCCACTGCGTCCTGCCTGTCGCCTGTTGCCTCTATGTTTAGACACATCTAGGACAAAAATATGTGCTGCCTGGCCCCTGTCAGCTCACACTGAGATGCTGGTGGACTTTTATATCACTCCAAGGCACATGGGAGGGAGCAGATGGGACCCGAGGAATGCAGAATGCTCAGAACGCAGTGAAGTTGGGCTGGCCAACAGATGGACCCTTTCAGAACGAGCTCCAAGGTTGCTAAGCAACACCTTCACCCGGGCTGGGCTTCTACTGGTTCCACGAGGCTCACCTCTGCAAATCAGTGCAGTGGCTCCATCAGGCTCTGTCTAGAAGGGAGGCGCTGAGCCCACTGTGCTTAAGATGCTGCTGGGTGGAGCAGCCTCCTTTTGGGGGTCTCTGCCTGATCTGGGGCAGAGCCTGGAAGCGGTTGCCTTGAAGCCCACAGTGACAGGGCTCTCCCTGACCCAGGGCTTAGGCTCCAACTCAGTGCTCAATACACGTTTGTTGAAAGAAAGAGCAAATGATGGCTGCTTTTGTTATGTAATGGAAGGGGAGTGGACAGTTTGGAAAGGGTGCTCCATGGCTGATATTCAGTATGGCTACAGGGTTGGTAAAATATTGAAATACCTACAGTATGGCTTATTGTGGCTATTTCTGAGTCCCCAAATGCCCCCACTACCCACGTTCCCTGGCTTCTCCCCTAGAGCCCCCAGGCATTCTTAGGAAAACAGTTAAAGAGTTTACACCTGGCACGGTAGGGGCCTCTAAGGTTTTGCTCCAGGCCTTTGGCCAGCATCTGACCACCTGGACTAGAGGCATCTGTGTTGCACTAGTTGTTGCACAATCTGACAATCTCCTTAGCTCCAAGTACAAGACTCAGCAACTGAGCCCTCTGCTACGACTATCTTCACTTCCCATCCCTTCTTCCTGCCATGCTTGCTCTCCTGATGGCACACGAGCCTGAGCCCAAGACTAGGGTAGGGCAGGCAGCAGACAGGGAGCAGGCAGTGAACAGGGGTGCCCACTCTCAGGATTCCCAGCAGACACACGGGGGAGCTGCAGGTCCATTCCCCAGCAGGGAGGGTGGGAGAGGGTGGTGTGGCCGACCTAGGAGGGAAACCCAGCTTCCCAGATGGGGTCAGGCTTTCTGCTTTTATTGCTGCTGAGGGCTCTCTGGTCTTGGCCTTATTTGGTTAAAAAGCCGTAAGACAGGGCCTAGAAACAGGAGCTGAAGACAATGTGGCTGAGAACCTGCCCCACCCCAGGCCTGAAGTCAAGCTGAACAACCACTTACAGATTCCTCCTTAAAAGGAGCCTGTAGCTGCCGTGTCCTTGTAGGTCCATCCTCGTCCCTCCTCCATACAGCTCTGGGCTCTGCCCTTTGCTGCTCTCCTCTGTGATCCTTTCCTGATGGAATCTCCCTAATCCAGGCTCTCCTGTCTCCAGCCACAGCTCCTGAGCCTGCCGGGGTCCTGCCTGGGCCCTCTAGCCTGTAGTCAGACTTTTTCATCTGCCCCAAACACCGCTGCTAAAAGAAGCCTTCCAGCCATTTTCCTGGCATCCCGATGGCCTCTCTCAAGAGCCCACTTTTCTCACCAGGATCCCCTCCTTCTGCTGGGGCCTGGTCCTCCTCTCCCTGCTGCGTCTCCTATTCCCAATGGCGGCTGCACTCTCGTCTCCCCTCTCGCCTCCCCTCTCGCCTCCCCTCTCGCCTCCCCTCTCGCCTCCCCTCTCGCCTCCCCTCTCGCCTCCCCTGTCCATTCTCATGGACTCCCCTCCATCTTCCAAATCTCTCAGGCCTCAGTAAGGGGGCGAGATGGGTGCGGAGGAAGCTGGGGTGGAAGACGAAGTGGGTAGGGCGAACTGTGTGTCCTGGTTTGTGGAGAGGAGCCAGGCAGGTCCTCCCCTCTTACCTGAGTGGGGCAGGTGATGGGGATCTGTGCTCTCAGGTCCAGGGTCTCTGTTTTGCTTCCGAGTGGTTCAAGCTGATCAGGGAAGAAAAGGGAGACACGGGTGTAGTAGTTTGTTTCCATGGAAGTGAACATTCCCTGGCAGCATCCTGCAGTGGGGAAAGCTCAGAACTCAGTTTCAGGGGGGCTTGGCTCCCGCTTCTGGCTCTGCCAGTTGCCAGCCGTGGGGTTTTGGGCCAGTTGCTTTGCTTCTCTGGGAGTAGCTTCCTCGGGGACTCGTCATGCTTCTCTAGCAGGGATGTGGAGAGCCGTAAATGAGATAACATGGCTTAAACTGCCTGACATGGTGGCTGGCACACAGGGAAAGTTGAATGAATGTGGGGTTTTTGGCTTGCGTTTCTGTAGAGAGGTCCCTCCTCAGAGTTCAAAGCTCTGAGGAGAGGGTGCAGCCGAGCTCAGGCCGAGCAGGCTCTTAAGGACTCCACATTTCCAACCGCATAGACGTCTACAGATGTGCCAGCCACTGCCCCCTCAGCCTCACTTGCAAGGCTCCATTCTGTAGGGGCTGGTGCTCTGCCCTAGACTAGAACCCCAGGGAACAAGGGACACCCCACTTATTTTACCATATTGGCCCAAAGGGCTCTGGCGAGCTGGGAGTGGAATTTCTGACTTGGGTGGATGCAGTCTGGGGCGAAGAAGGACGTATCTGGGAGCCCATCCTGAAAGAGACCAATATACCCCCTCAAGATCCTATTGCTTCAGAGCGAGCCACCACCAGCGGGCCTGGCCCTGGGACTGACCACTCAACACCTTCCTTCCCCTGGGAGAGCTCCAGGTCACCAGCCCCTACAGGGCCCTCTCACCTGAAGAGAGAGATGCGGGCGATCCCACAAATAATAGTTTCGGGTGACCCCAACCCCAACCTTCCTTTTTGACCCTATAAGTGCCCCTTGTTTAATGAGAAAAGTGTCATATTTATTTTGGGGCACATTCATGTAATGCCTGAGGCCATGCCATGGATGAAGGAGTGAGATCCTGGTCCTGCAGAGAGTCTTGGCCAGCCAGATGGGAAAAGCGACTTCCCAGCTTTTGGTCTGCTGATCCTGGTGGTACTGGTGGGGAGAATGGAACAAAGCCTTGGGGAAGGCCTGCGTAGCTGGGTCCCCTGACACCAGCCTTTTCGTCTGGAGGTGCTGGGGGGGCATAGAGCTGCTCTCCTTCCCACTTCCCTCCAGTTAGGTGAGCCTCTTGGGGTGGCAACCCAGGGGAACAGACCTCAGTCCTCACCGGGTCCACTCACAGATCTCTTCCGTGCAGAGTGGAAGTGCCAGGCAAAGGGCATGGCCCGGGTGGAAACAGAGAACCCCCAGAATGCTCCCTTGTAACCGCAGTGCTGCACACGAGAGAGACCACGTGTGTGGCAGAAAGCTAGTCATCCGGAGCTGGCTGTGTTCGTGTCGGCCTCCCTGTCCCTTATTTCCTAAATGATCTCTACACCTGTGTTCCATGCGGTTGATCACACTCATTTCCAAACACAGATGTGACAATTTTATTTACGGAAAGCACAGTGCCTGGCACTAGTAGGTGCTCAACACAATGGAGGCTGTTACAGGGGTCATGGGAGCCTCACACATACGGATACGGCTCAGGTATTCAGGGAGCCTGCACCTGCCAGCACAGCCCCTGGAAAGCTGTGTCTTTCCTATTTTATGCACATGCTCATGGAAGCAACTGGCATTTCTGCCTTGAATTTCTTCCTCTAAAAGAGCACCATGGGTGAGGGCAGGGGACATACCGCCAGGACAGGGAGCTGGACGTTCTGGAAGAAGGGCTGCAGCACCACCGAAAAGTCCTCCCGTGTGTCATAGCGGCCTGACTCCACCAGCTCACGCATGCTGCTCTGGGGACACACGTACAGGGTCTTCAGCACAGGCCCTGGTGGGCCCAGGGCCCAGTGAGGCAAGAGCAGGGGTGATGGGCAGCCCATCTCCCTGGGTGAAGGGGCCGACTCAGCCTTTCCCTTGAGAACACAAACGCACCTGATGGCAAGTCCCTTTCGAGAATTTGGAAACAGGTTGGGTCACCTTTTTGTATTGATTGTAAGTAGACTACTCTCTCTGAAGGGCTAGGCAGGAAGTCCCAAAAGGGATAAAAACCTGGGAAGACCCGCCAGAGGCTCGGCTCCTGCCTTTGGAGTGGGAGTGTGGGGGAGGGAAAGGGGGTCTCATGAGGCATCCAGGGTTCCGGGCCAGGAGTTGGGGTTAAGCCTTCAAGGGTAGCTGGCCCATGGGGGCTTTCCCACCTGGATCCTACTGGGATGATTCCAACCAGGGGGCCTGAGACAGCACAGTGACGTGAGACAGAGGAAGGGAACCAGGGTGCTCCCCGTCTCCCCGCAAGCCCTGACCAGCCCTTCCTTCCCTGGGGGCTCTGGGCTGTGTGTTAGAGTGAGCGTAGGGGAGAGGACACAGGATGGTCCCTTCTTGGTCTTACCTGGTAGGCTCGGCTGAAGGACTCCAGCCTGGCCAGCTCTTGGGAGTTCTCCCGCAGGGTCAGAACGCAGTTACACAAAATGCTGCACAAAGATGGGGAGGCAGGAGGCCCCAGAGCCCAGGCTTCCATCAGGTGCTGGTTCTGATTGCCCAGGTTCAGGGGAGGGGTGGAGAGGCTCCCTCCCACCCTGGTTTAGGAGCACTGAAGTCTTGAGCTCTGGTGCATATGCTCGGGGCAGGCTTCAGGCCTCACAGGGGCATTGGAGAAAGCCCAAGGGAGGGAGCCGGTGTGGGAATGAGGACCCTCTCAAACCAACAGAGCACAAGTGTTGGACTGCAGGTGCTGGGCCTGCAACCGATTACTCAGCTGAGCAAATGAATTTGGGCAGTGAAAATTTAGTGTTTAATTAAAAAGAAAATGCATCCTCTGGTACTGGAGCTGGTATTTTTGGGCCTCTGATGCTATGCCCTAGACCTCTCCTTCATTCACATAAGTGCCCTTTTCACACCCATCACATCTACTTAAAAGAGAGATTTCTAAAGCACTTGAAACAATGCCCGGTACACAGGAAGTTCTGTAAGATTTGCTAAGTAAATAGATGTGTAAGACACAAAGAACAATAAAACACACACCCATGTACTTATGGTCCAGTTTAAGAAACAAAACATTCCCAGTTTGAAACTCCCTGTGTCCCTCCTAATTCTCTTCTTCCCCTAAAGGTAACTGAGTTGCTCGTACCTTTTCCTTGCTTTCTGTTACAGTTTGACCACACATGTCTACATCCCTAACCACTGCCCATGTTCACAGTCTGGGCTATCCTGTCTCTCAGACACCAGCCTCTGTCCCAACTTTGATCCCTCCCCTGTGTGGCTGCCTGGTATCACAGAAGTTCCTGCCAGGCACCTTGAGGTTAGGTAACAGGGGAGTCATGGCTCCAGCCTTCCGGAAGGGGATCGTTCTGGCAGGAATCCTCCTTTACAGACTTGGACACATGGATAGACCAAGTCACAAAGACCCTGAGGCATCACCACTGCCTGCGGGCCAGACCAGGAGGTGAGGGCATCTCCAGTGTGGGGACAGTCAGGACCTGCCTACCTGGCCTGCTGCACTGGGCACTTGTCCGGGTTTCCCAGGAACACCTGCCGCATGACACTGGGGTTCAAGAAGTCCACGAGGTTGACCAGGGCTCTGGGCACCTAACGGAAAAGCAGTGGATGAGAGAGGGGCTCCGGGGGCTTCTTCCTGGGGCTGTCTCAGGGCCCTGAGGAATGGGTTCCTTTAGCAATCCAGCTTGGTCTTTCTGGAGTTGAGTTCTGAGGAGTCTATACAGGGCTACCTCCTAGGGTCTTACAGGCCGTACATCACACAACTCCATGGGTGCCACCCAAAGGGGCTGCAGCAACAATGGCACCTCCTGGAGTGGGACAATAAAGGCTAAGAGATCATCTCTGTTTGGCCATCATGTAGTGAGCCCAGATACATTAGAATGACCTTCAGTGAGATAGGCGACCTGTTCCCTCCAGCCCAACCTGGCCTAACTCTGCTGAGTAGGCACGCGGGCTCAGCCCGCCAGGGGAGCATCTGGTGGTCAGAGTGCCCTGTGTCAGGCAGCCAGGGCAGCTTGTCCTTGCCAGAGGATGGTGGTGGTGGAGGGGGAAAGTGCTGCTGGGTGCAGGACTAGACAGGGGCCTGCTCTCGACCCACCCTGTGGCTCAGAATGCAGTGCCCAGCCTGGGGCCCACCTGGCTGCTACCACCAAAAAAAATGTCCCAGATAGTAGTGGGGAGACATTAGACAATTCCACCGAGTGTCCCAGGTAGTGGTGGGGGAACAGCCTTCCCTTCTTCAGACCTGAGACCCTTCTGGGCTGATTCCATATAGAATAAGCTTTCCTTGGGGTTCTGAAAACGGAAGGAACCCATGCCCCTGGCTGTCTCCTTGAGAGAAGGGGGTTCTTCTCCCATTCTTTCCCCCCCATCCACCTTCACCCTCACCATGCTTGAGCTGTTACCAGCTTGTGGGAGCCCCCTACCCACCTCTCTATGTAGGACATCCAAGGCATCGCGGAGATGGTCAACGAAGTTGGCTGCAGAATACAGATTCTAGAGACAGGAAGGAGGAAGAGGAGAAATTGATTAGGGTGAGAGGGCAGTGGAGGCAGTTCTCAACTTCCCTTCTGGCTCCAGCCCTAAGGAGTTGTTCCCCCTCTAGCCTCCAGCTGTGGCCAGCTCACCACGTTAAAATCTGAGATGAATAGTTGACTACTTGCTGTTGTCAAAGATGGGCCAGTGGGAAGACTAGAAACTTTAGCTAGAGCTTTGGTTCAGGAGTAGAAAGTGGAGACTTCTCCTACCAATTGCTTGCTACAGTTTCCTCTTTCTGAATTCTCAGGAGTTATAAGAGAGAGGAGTAGAAATACCATATATCTGCCACCTGCTACCTCACCACCTAGGACACGGAGATGGTGCCAAGAACCTGGAGGGTGGTGGGGTAAGAAGTGTGTGTATATGTGTGTGTGTGTGTGTGTGTGTTGTATGTGTATATGTGCAGACATGGGTGTAGCTGGATAATCCTAGGATTGGTTTTAGGAACTGTTCTCAGGGAAGATCTCCAATGCCTACTGGGCAAAGTTAGGAACAACACGTAGGCCTGGACCTGGCCCCCATTACCGAGTCTGTGCAGTAGTCACATAAATCTCTGCCTCCAATCAGCACTGTGATGACCTTCCAATCTTCACGGAAATTCACTCTCTATATGGAAGGAGGAAAATGCTTGGTAATTTCCAACAAGGAAACAAAAATATCCCTGCCCTAGGAAATCCAGTCAACCCTCTATAACATCCTTGCCCACTTGAAATAATGGAATCGGCATCTCTGAACTGAAGGAATTTTAGAGGTTTATTTATAGACCACAGAATCTTAGCATCAGGATGGGTTTTCAGTGTCACTGTGCCCAGCAACAAAGCTCTCCCCACTGACATAATCTCCTCCATAGGACCTCTGTCAGGGAGCTGTCCGACCACTGCTTGAATGTCTCTAATAATATGGGGCTCACTGCTTTTCATGGCAGACCACTTCATCTGAAGACAACTTTAATGAGTTAGAAAATTAATATTTAGAAATAACCATAAATCTGACTCACATGGTCATCTTTCATCTTCTGCATCAGAGTTTGGACTTGGCTCATAAGATCCCTAAGAAAGAGAGAAAACCCATTCTTCTGTGGAGGAATAGTACCCATAGCTTTCCTCCTCGGGGGCCTGAACCAGAGGCTTCTACAGTATCATCCCCACTGCATGAGCTGGCAGAGATCCTGAGGCTCAGAGACCAGGAGCGACTTGCCTCTTCTGGAAAGTTATTACAACAGATAATCATTTGAAAAGCCAATGATGTGTCTCTCCTGCAGCCGTAGTCAAAGGTACTGCCAATTATATTGGTTACTCATGGTCTCCTTTCTGGGACTCCACATGCAAAAGGGTTTTTAGGATTCCATGTGAAGAAACCATTCATCTCTTTTGGAAGACTAGTTTAGATCCTAAAATTAGACCTATGAAACTTTTAGCATGCTTCCTCTTTTCACTCTGGCTGCCAGGAAGCTAAGTTTGATGCTCAAACATAATAACCATAAAAATGTTCATATCGACACAGTTACTTCTTTATTTCCTCCAATGGCTGTGATTTTTCTCGTACATATATATATATATTTTTTGTAAACTTATCTAAATGCTTCTTTCAGAAAGAGGTAGGGAATCACATGTGCTCTACACATGACTGGGTTTATAATTTATGGAAGGTGGCAGGCCTGGTGGCTCATGCCTGTAATCCCAGCACTTTGGGAGGCTGAGGTGGGAGGATTGCTTGAGCCCAGGAGGTTGAGACCACCCTGGGCAACAGGGTAAAACCCTGTCTCTACAAACATTACAAAAAACTTAGCCAGGTATAGTGGTACATGCCTGTAGTCCCAGCTACTAGGGAGGCTGAGGTGGAATGATTGCTTGAGCCTGGGAAGTGAAGGTTGCAGTGAACTGAGATCATGCCAGGGCACTCAGCCTAGGTGACAGAGTGAAATCCCATCTTTGGAAAAAAAAAATGTAGGCCGGGTACAGTGGCTCATGCCTGTAATCCAAGTACTTTGGGAAGCTAGGTGTGCGGATCACTTGAGGTCAGGAGTTTGAGACCAGCCTGGCCAACATGGTGAAACCCTGTCTCTACTAAAAATACAAAAATTAGCTGGGCGTGATGGTAGAAGGCTGTAATCCCAGCTACTGGGGAGGCTGAGGCAGGAGAATCACTCCCGGAAGGTGGAGGTTACAGTGAGCAGAGATTGTGCCACTGCACTCCAGCCTGGCTGACGGAATGAGACTCTATCTCAAAAAAAAAAAAAAAAAAAAAATTACAGTTTGTGGAAGGAATAGATTTCAGGCACCTGAGCTCCCCACTTCCACTTGTTCAGGGCCCTGTTATAGACCTGGGTGGGATGGATCCATAGCAAGGTGAACTCCCAGGACATGGCGGTGGGACCATCTGTCCCCAGCTGTTTCTATTACCAAGAGTCCTCCCAGGCTGAGGGAGTAGGTCTGGGGGCCACACCCCTCAACCAGAAGGTTGAGCAAGAAGATGACATGTGACAGAGGCTCAGATGGCTGAGGCAGGAGCTGCACAGAGCAAGAAGACCTGGGCTGCTGGGGTCTCTAGGAGCAGGGTAGGGGCCCCTTGGAGACCATCCCAGGAGGCTGGCGGTTGCTCTTCTTTGGGTGCCTCTGGGCTTCTCCATTGCATTTCTTGTTAGCTCCATCATGGGGCTAAGGAGGGGACATGACTCTTTACTCCAGACACCTCTAAGGCCAGAAAGCTTGCCCCATCCATTTGGTTGGCCCTCTCTGATCTTTTTGGGGAACTGCCACTTGTGAGGTTCTAGGGGGAGTGGATCTCTCTAGCACTGTTGTGCCTTGGTGAGTTGTAAACATTGGATAAGGTTAGTCGATTCGTCCAGTTATGAGAACATGCTGCACATGAAGGCAAGGTCAGGAGTTGAACCTGTAGGGGCATCACCTCTCTCCAAGGCCACAGCCTCTCTAGCCTGTTACAACCTTCGTCACAGGGCAGCAGGGAAGAGGGCGGCCTGAGCCTCACAAGTGGCTAAGTGCCCCTTTGCACGTAGAGGCCAGCACTATGATCTTAAAGGGTACTATTCGCATGCCACTCCCTACCCTGCAGGCTCCCTCCCTCCCCAAATGCCGTACTCAGCCTTTGCTCCAGGAACAGCTTGATTGAGGAATGCATTCATGTCACTGGCGTCACCCGTGCCCACGGCGTAGCCTGTGAGGTTTCTGTTAAACTCCCGAAGGATATCTGGAAGAGGAGAGGGCGAACAGAATGCAGACGGCTCAGAACAGAAAGCAGGATAGCTTCTCTGGTACCGTGGGACCTAGGACCCCAAAGTGGGCCGTGTTATCATCCTCATGCTTCCTGGGGAGAGGCAGGGAGGCAGTGTGTGTCCTGGACATAAGCTGGAGCCACCCTAAGTTGAAATGACCTGATGACTATGTGGGCCAGGGTGGCAAGAGCCTCTCACTCTTGTATTAAATTGTATTAATACAATTAAATTACATTAAAAATACATTTTTAATACAATTCACAGTGCATTGAAGGGTCACTACCTAATTTGTCTCAGCACCTCCTGGGCCTCTTGGAAAAACCCGAGGCTAAGAATAGTGGGTAACTTGTCCTAGGTCACCTGACAAGCACATTGGAGAGCCAGGGATTGAACCCAGATCTCCAGGCTCTAAATCCAGTGTTTATTCTACCCACCTCGGCTGCTTTTTCATAGCCTCCTGTCTCCTACTTAAATAGTGGGCCATGAGGCCGATGTCATTTGTTCCTTAGCTGGGAGGCACTCTCGGGAAACCAAGGGGCCAGATAGATGGAACAGTAGACAGATTCAAGCCCCGAATGGCTACTTACTAGGTAAGGTGGTCACATTCTCCAGGAAGCCGTCCCCTCCCGAACTGTAGGGCGTGAGCAAGCCAGTGAATGAGAGGGAGAGACAGATTGGTTGAATCAATCTAGAAACTTGACAAAAGCGCAGCCCCCACCCTTCTTAGTGCCCATCAGCACCTTTGAGACGGGCCAGACCCATCTCTTTGTGTTTGAGGAATTCTAAGAAAATTTTGAATTCCCTAATATATTGGTTCCCTACCGAACCCAGGATTTGAAGATGAGAGAGCTGTTTCCTTACCAAATCCGGGGGGAGAATGCTTAGCTGAGTATATACTACGTGCCCAGACATGCACTAGATTCTGTTATTTCACATCTCCCAACAAGCCAATGATGTAGATGTGACTATGTCCATTTTACACAGAAAGAAAATAAGGTGCACACGGGTTAACTTGCTAAAGGTCACTGAAACCCAACTTGAGCTGGAAGCCTTTGCAAAATAGATAAAGCTCTTCTCTGCTCAGTAGTCAGGTAAATTCCAATGGAAGGTTCAGAAGAGTGGCCGCTCACTACCTTTCAATAACCCATCTAATTTTCATTTAATCTAACTTCAAGGTACACCCTATTTCCTTTTATGCGTTTATGAATAAATTGAGTATGACACACAGACGTAGTACTTCTATTTTAACAAAATCTGATGTTCATATATATGGTATTTACTGTTCTTTTTCTTGTTTCTTTTTCGAATCCCAGCATGTTATTCCAGGCCAATGGATTTTAAGAACATGGCCTTAGCTTCCAGCCTACCAGCAGAGACTTCTAAGGGACAGGCCATGAGTCATAGTTGTTCTTCATTCATGGAATGCTTGGAATGAAGTGGACTGTTGCATGCCAGAGTGGTCAAGGACTGAAGTCAGAGGCTCTGCAAGCAATTCAGGTGGTAGAGAGAAGGCAGATGCCATAAACTTTGCCCTTCTCCTTCACTCAGTTCTTGCTCCCCACCTTTCCATTAGATGTCTGAGCCTAACTTGCTCAGTGGATGGGCATTTGTTTGCACATCTGATTCTTTTCCAGCTCTGCATGAAGCTGTTGCTTTCTGATCCTTCTTTCTCTGGACTAAAGGCACCCAATCAGAATATTTTACATTTGAAAAGAAATTATAAGTCTATATACCTCCGCCAATCACTGTGTTCTAATTCTGCCTCCTTTTTTCCTCCAATAAAGATATAGACATGCAAACACAAACGTATCAAGTACTTCCCACTGTAATTTCCTGTTTAAAGGTATCCTCGTTTTAAAACAAGTATGGTGGCTGATCAAGACTAACAGTCTATGAAAATCTCTCCCTGACTTCATTTTAAAGTGAAAACTTCCAGGAGCAAAAAAGGATTGTGACAAATAAACACAAAAGCGCAAAAATATTCAAACTCTCTTTTTGACCAGAACTGTGTGAAACGTGAAAGGAAATAGACCCATATCAAACAGCTAGTCCACCTTAGACCCTTTAGATGAATATCATTTATGTTACACTACGAGCTCAGCGGCTGGGCTCTGGTCATCTGTCGTCACCTAACGTGTACAGAAAAATAGAGTAGATGCTCAATAACATTTGTTGAAGGAGTTTCAGTCATGTGAGGTTGAACCCCTAGTTAATAAAACAAAGGCATTTTTTGGGGTAAATTTTATTTTGGTCCTTTGAATGATCCCAAACAAGCAAACTTATTTCAGTGGAAGAAAAGGCAATGCTCTCAAGACCTCTAGGTCTGCCACACTGTTAAGCTGGCCAAAGCTGGAACTGTTCACTATAGAATCTCACAGGTCAAGGGGCCTTGGAAATATTCATAGCCAAGCCTCTTCTGCAGGTCCTGTTCACAGCCACCCACCCCCCATGAATTCTGGGTCTACTTCTCCCCTAACTCCATGAGATCCAGTCTTTTCACTTTGTTTCCTAGGGGGAAGAGGCTCAAATTGCATTCTTAATTGATGTAGTATCATTAATTGCCTAGTTTTTCCAATCTAGAAGCTTTAGTGGCTCAAAAATTGCTTTTCTCAGATAAGTCTACCACATGAACACTTTCAGGAGATGTTAACAGGTGCTATGAACAAAGAAAATGTTCCAGAATTAAGGGAAACATTGGGCTAAACAGATAAAACTTAAATAGATTTCTGCATTGCAGGCCTTATCAGAGCCTTTAATATGCTAATACACACATGAATTCCCCAGAGGAAGGCTATAGTAATGTTTCCCCCTCAAATACGAAGGATTTTCTCTTCTCCAGGAACAAGTCTGGAGTTAATGTTCCATGGAACACACTTTGAGACACAGTAGTCTATATATTCTATCAAGTGTCAAGTTGTGTCTTAGACCCTGACCTAGAGCTTCCATCTTTAACACATGTGCATTTGGGGGAAGCTATTTGAAACATTTAGGACAAATGAAGGTTTAAAGGGACAGCAGCCAATGAACCTGAGGCCTTAGAGCTAGAACTAGAAGACTGAGACATTAGGCTATAATGGACTTCACTTGCAGGAAGAAACAGAGCAATGGCTGAATTTTCCCATTGCTGCAGAGAGAAACTTTTAGTAGAGGATTGCTCGTTCATATCTGAATCCCACAAGCCCGGCTGGTCGGTCTGTTTGTAAAGTTGGGCACATCACCTTACTTACCCAGGTTGCCCCACCAGGTGCACGTCGCATATCTATCACCTGCAATATGGTTTGTCTACTTGATTTTTCTTTTTTCCCCATGCGATCATGTGAGGTCATTGCCTTCTTTAGCTGAGACCAAGGGCAGCCTGCCACAACCTCATGCTCGCTCTTGATTGTAATAAGCTCTGCTTTCTCTCCTCTGGTTTTTTTTTTTTTTTCTCGTAGCCTCATTAGGAGCAGAGTGGTGAGTCAGTGAGGCTCTGATTTGTTCTGTGGCAGCCTGTTAGGACCAGGTACCTAACCAAGGACTTGTGGAAACACAGGGACCTTGGCGCAGGAAGGCACTGACCTCTGTTCTTGAGGGGTTGATATCCTCAAGCTAAGGACACCCTAGGTACTCCTTGTGGGTGGTACAGGCTGAGTGATGGCGCCTCCCTCCTGCCCTGGAAACCCATCCTCTCTGGGACTCTGGTCAGGTCTGGCCAGAGAACCGTCACAGTCCTGATCACCCCCTCCCTGCTCCCTGTCACTTCCCCAGGAAGCAAATTGACTCAGAAGAAAAGGGAGGCGGCAGCAAAGGTGTTCTCCTGGCTCCGCCACTCAAGAGCACGCTGCCCCCTTGTGGCCAGCTTCATTCTAGTTGTTTTCCCAGGTAAATTCTAAGCTACTCGCCACTTTGAAGCTTACAGGAACGAGAACTTTATTAGGAAAGAAAGAAACTTGAGAATATCTACATGCAACCGCTCGCCTGACACACCCTGAGGTTCTCCACTTCTGTGTTCGGGATGCCCTTTCTCACCCTTTCTTCTTGTCGAATTGCTAATCTTTCAAGATATGGCTGATAGTGATTGTGTCTTGCTCATGCCCTCTCGAAGTGTGCAGTGGGTTTCAGAGGTTTTCTGTGTAGATGTGTATATATATGTAAAGGCAGTCGTGTAACTACAAGACAACATGAATAAACACACAAAGACAGTAAACAAAGACGCAGGAACACCACGTGTACACGTATACATGCAAGCAGGGAGGTGAAGATTCAGGGATTTGGTGCTTTTCTGGTGCATTTCCTGTTGGATTTGCTGACCCAGGAGTCTGATAAGAACCCTGGTTTACTTTCTCTGCACAATCAAAAAAAAAAAAAAAAGATTATCAACAGTAAAATATCCTCTCCACTCACCAAATGTTCACATTTTGCAGAAATATATCGCTTTTTCTTTCTGAAAGCCCCTTCCAGACCAAGTCTTCAACCTCTGGGATTTACATATTTACAGGAGACAAAGCCACACCCAATCTCTGCTGTGGGGGGAGCCCCAGGAGAGGCCAAAGGTTAACATTACCTGTATGACAGTCCCCGATACTGTGTGGTGACATCGGGGAGGTCGTCTGGTTTGGAGCCAATTCCATTGCCAGCCTTTGAAAATATACCAGAGTCCACAGGAAAATTAGCAAGTCAGAGAACAGGGAGGCCATGAATGTGCAGGGCTTCCAAAGAGAGGGTTCCCAATGCACTCGTGGTGGCAGGAGCAGACACGGGACCAGGAGCCCCCGGCTCTAAGTCTGCCATCCTCCCTCTCCAGCTGTGTGCCTTCTCCAACTCTCAGCTGCCTCCTTGCTGAGCTGAGGACATACCCTGCTCATCTCACAGGGAGTGTTTTGGGGATCAAATTGGATTACAGTTGTAAAAACTGCTTTGAAAACTCTCAAGTGCTTTACAAACGTGAGAGTGTTAATAATATCGCGTTATGCCCGTAAATTTTTTTTTTTTTTTTTGAGATGGAGTCTCGCTCTGTCACCCACGCTGGAATGCAGTGGCACGACCTTGGCTCACTGCCAGCTCTGCCTCCTGGGTTCACGCCATTCTCCTGCCTCAGCCTCCTGAGTAGCTGGGACTACAGGCGCCCGCCACCATGCCCGGCTAACTTTTTGTATTTTTAGTAGAGATGGGGGTTTCATTGTGTTAGCCAGGATGGTCTCGATCTCCTGACCTCTTGATCCACCCACCTCGGCCTCCCAAAGTGCTGGGATTACAGGCGTGAGCCACCGCGCCCGGCCGCCCCTAAGTTCTTTATGAGCATGAAGAGAGAGCTCATTGGCTTAAGCGACTGCAGTGGACAGATTTCTCCTAAGTCTCACGTTTCTCCTCTTTCCCTCTGGGGCATTCTGTAAGGTATCCTCAAGGCTTTGGACATGCTGCTGGAAAGTGATGATCTGGGATAGTAAATAGCCCCATTTCTTGGAAGTTAGGAGCAGAGCTTTATCCACAACTAAGGAGTCCTTGCTGCTTTCCGTGCAAATGCAAAGAAGAAACAGATGTGAGGGTCTCAGCTGATTATAAAGCGTAATCCAAAGGAAAAAGAGCACCCGCACAGGGAGGTTTAGGAGAATTTTGAGTCAAAATGACATATTTTTACATATATTAAAAAAAGTGTTATTGGGTGTTCAAAATCTCTGCCTTCTGAGACAATTCAGTTCACTCTGGAAAAAGATGTCCTCTGCATATCTGTTTGAGAAAGCGGCCACAAATCAAATCATTGGCACGCTCTTGGATTGACAGAGCCAGGTAGAGGGGCAAGACAAGGCAGAGGACAGGCATGCAGGCCCTTAAGTTAAGGGGACTGGGATCTGGAGCTGACCTAGTTATTCCCAAACCACCCAGGGCCCAAGAGTCCTTACGGTCAGAGAATCCCCCAGAGCAGCCACAACTTGGATGTCTGCAGGTCTCAGAGCATGCACTGGAAAGACAAGCGGACATACTTAGGGCTGTAGGAGGGAAGCTGCAGTCAGACTCTAGAGCCTCTGGCTTCAAGCAAGATCCGAAACACAATCTGCACGAGCACAGGGCCGTGCAGGGCTGGGCGTGCAGAGTGCCACGGAGGCAAAGCTATGTGAGGACAGGTTTCCCATAAGACACAACTGATCCTGGACCTTGTGTGCAAGGTGCAGAGAGGGAAAGAGAGGTGCAGAGAGGGAGAAGGAGGGAGAAGAAGAAAACTGGGGAAAGGGAGGAGAGGCAAAGGGAAAAGGAAGGAGGGAAGAAAGAAGAGAAAGGTGGGAGGGAGGTCAGGGCAGAGTAGGAGCCCATTTTAGTACCAGTGGTCATGGGAGATGCCAGTCATGGCCTGAGTGCACAACTAGACGGGCATCAAACCACACATGACGAGGTGCAGGACCTGACGTGCAGCCCGTTTGGAGGTGGGTTCTGAATTTCCACCGAGAGTCTGAGAATAGTCATGTTGGGCCTTTTTCTGCCCCCACATCTCTTCTGAAGAGCCCAGGGAATCTTCCAGGCCCTACTGCAGGCAGCAGTGATTGCAGAGCCTGGGGCCACAGAGCCACCTTCCTCTTGGGACTCAGGCCCACCTCTGTGCTGAGGCACCAAGGGTGTGCTCACAGGGCTCCTCCGCTTGTGCTCCCTCTAAGAGGTGCAGGTGGGCAGGAGACAGCTCCTGGTCCTAGGTGCCTTGGTGCCTGCTGGGCATACTGTCACCACCAGCCAGAGTGGTGCAAAACAGGGACTCGTCCCAGGTGACCGCCCAGGCAGACAGCAAGCACTGGCCATCGCTCTGCCGTTTAGTGAGTGTGAAAGTCAGTTCAGACGACTCACTGGCATAGAAGCCCCTGTGGAGGGGCCCTGGGTCCTGCTGTGCCACACGGGGCTTACCTGAGTTAGGGGGCGAGGCAGAAGGGGCTCTGTCCCTGCATGGCAGCCAGGTCCCATGACCCTAAGGGCACAGAACAAATCCCAGAATCTCAGGGTTGAAAGGGACCAGAAAAACTGGCTATCAGATGTATCCCAAGAGCTTTGAAAAATACAGATTCCTGGGTCCTACTCCCGGGGAGGGGCCTCAAAAGGTCTTTTGAAGAAGGCACCCTAGGTGATTTTGAGTATCGGCCACAGGTCGAGGTCCACTCATCTAGTTCAGACCCTTCCACCGTCCAATGCAAGAATCAAGGCAGCCACAAATGACCCCACCCCACAGCAGCTACTGCTCCTGCACCAGCTCTACAAGGACGGGATTTCTCTTCACTTACGTCTCACTGAAGCTGGGACTGGGTTGGCTGGAGGCCTTCCAGCTGTTATCCACAGCATTTACGCTGCCCACTACCCCATCTGAAGGTCAGGTGTGGCCTTTATGCCCATCTAGAATTCTTGCCCACTTTCCCACCCTGTCCTGTTGGGCCTGACCCAGCCCAGGGGTTGCCCATCCCATTGCCTGGTGAGTTAAGGGGAGGCGAGAGGCAGGTACCTGCACGCTGTTCTTGTAGGTCCTCAGAAACGGCTGGACCTGTGAGGAGACGGGGATGAGCAACGGCAGCAAATTCTGCTCGCTTCTCTGCTTGCCAGCACTCAATAAGTGTCGGCCTGACACAAACAGCTGCAGCCTCCCTGCCCTGTGTCCCAAGCCCGGCCTCTACCAGGCTGACTCCCTCCCAAGATGCAGGGGGCCATCTCTGCAACCTGAACCCAGCACAAAGAATGAGCATCAATTCATGCTTCACAGGAACGCGCCTGTCTTCCTTCCACCTCCCGCGAGGTTGGCTGAGGATGGCTGTGCTGCCTCCCTTTCTCCACCCTCCCCTCTTGCAACCATGCACCTCTTTCTGCTGGAAAAAGCCCTTGTCTCCACTCCCCGGGCTCCCTTGCCACTCCATGCCTACCCCACCCTGCAGTGACTATGGCCCCTTCCTGCCCAGGTAAGAAAAGTCAGATGATTTTGGTCCTGCCTCACATAAGCCCTGTGCACTGGTTCCCAGTGTCAGCCTAGGAGCCCTCTGGGTATACAGAGGGATTCTTGGGGGTGAGGGCAGCTGCTGCAGAGCTCCAAGAATCTTTCTGAGAACTTGTGAGTAAAAATGGGGGGCTTGTCCTGCTTTTCCTTCCCTAGCTCCAGCTTCCAATTTACTCCCCTACCCCCACCCAATTAGAGATCTAGATCTTGGTTCCTCGCTCTACCCATATTGTCATGGAGGCAGGGGCTATATGAAGACAAGGGATCCTTCCGCCCCATCTGCCCTTGAAGTTCTCCGCTGCCCTCAGCTTTCAGAATGACAGGTAGATGTGGCTGCCATGCCCATCTTGCCTGCCTCAAAGAGTTGTCTCCAGCCTAGACATGTGTGAGGGCTCCCAGCCATGCAGAGACCAAGCGCTCCCAGGCCTCTGGGTCACTGGGGGTAGTCATCCCTCTCAGCATAACCAGATGGGGCGTTTGGGGTGGGTGGGCAGGCAGAGCTGGGGTGAGGGTGAGGGCCTAGGATGAAATGAACCAAGAAGCCCAATGGAGCCGGAGCCTGGAAGGATGTGCTTTCCATTCTACCTGGTTCGGACATGTGATATTGATCTCGTTTTCAAACTTATGACGTGTCGTCTTCTGGCCAACAGGCTCCAGCTAAACAAAGAGGCAGGGAGATGGGGAGTGAGGAAGAGGCGGTCAGAATGGAAAGCTCAGGACGCAGGTCAGGGGCGCGGGAGGCAGGGAGGGACGAAGGAGATGGGGTTTGTTTATCATTGCCGTACACAGAATCACACGGCCTGCACGATGGGCCTCCAAGGTCCTCCAAAGGCTTTGTGGAGTCTTTTTCTTATCAGAGGGAGGATGCATTTTCCTACTGCAGCCACCTTACCATATTGTTCCAGAGGGCGCTGGCTGCACGGGAGTGAGACTTGCTGCTGAAGTGGAAACAGTCAGGCGCAAAGAAAGAGTTGTCAGGCAATCCTTCCTGGTCACCGGGCAGAAAAAGAGAGGCAGTTATAGACACGCTGGATCATGTAAATGACACTCAGAAACAGCCACACGCTATCTGTGGATTCTCTTTATCCACGACGCTTGCTTTCTTTACCGAGGTCTTTGGCAAGTCCACGTTTTCAAAGAACGGCTGCACGACCACCGTAAAATCTTCCCTTGTGTCATATCGCCCACTCTCAATCAGTTGGTGGGTCTTCTCCTGCAGGAGGAAACGGGGACAGAGGTCAGGCGGTCCTCTCTGCATCTGCTCGGTCCTTGATCGATCTCTTTCTCCAACACAGAATTAAACAGAATCTGACTGTTGAGTGAAATCAACCTGCCGCAAAATCTCAACTGAGATTTTACATTTCAGATCATTTACATTTTAGATCAGCCTTTATCTCAGCCCCTGGCCCCAAACTCTGCTGCGACTGCATATATTTGAGCCAGTCTGTGAAAAGGGAAAGGTAAGAAAAGTCTATCAGCTGGACTTTATTTATTTATTTATTTATTTATTTATTTGAGACAGAGTCTCACTCTGTCGCCCAGGCTGGAGTGAAATGGCGCCATCTCAGCTCACTGCAACCTCCACCTCCCGGCTTCAAGTGATTCCCCTCAGCCTCCGGAGTAGCTGGGATTACAGTGCCAGCCACCACGCCCGGCTAACTTTTTGTATTTTTAATAGGGACGGGGTTTCACTATGTTGGCCAGGCTGGACTCAAACTCCTGACCTCGTGATCCGCCCGCCTTGGCCTCCCAAAGTGCTGGGATTACAGGTGTGAGCCACCGTGCCTGGCCAGCTTGACTCCTTTTAAAGCTATTCTGATTAAGGACTTGAGGGGTGGTTTTTGGTTAAATGACATTCTGAATAATCCTAAGAATTTATTTCTGTCCTACATTTATTCAGAAAAATCAAAGGTGAATCAAAATTTAATGTATATTTATATTGCCCGTGCATGGTATGTGTGCGCTTCTTTGAGGCTCTCAGATCTGTGTAGTCCTCACAGCTTCTGCTTGGGGTCACTTCTAGGAAAACCTGTTACCCCAGTTCCGGCTCCCACTCTAGCCTGACTCAGCCGTTCCACTGCTAACCAGGGTTTCTGCCATCTCGGGATTACTCTGGCTGGAGAGGGAAGTCAGGGTTACACACCTGGGAATGTGAATGGTGTCACTTCAGAAGATACCACACGCTGTCTTTTCCCAGGGTCAATTCCTAGGCCAGGAATGTCTCATGTCTGACCTCCCAAGCCAGTGTCTGCCTTGAGTAAGGCACGAGGGAAGGAGAGAAGATCATCTCTCAGAACAGGGGAAGGAAGTGAGGTGCTGCGAACTAGCGGGGTGACTTCCAGCTCGCTGCTTCCCTTTTCTCTGCTTCCCCTTGTAAATGGAGGATGCTGACTGAGTCCTGGGCCATCTCTGAAGTCCTTTCCGATGCTACTGGTTACTCTGGGGATAGCCAGATGGGCTCACGGTGGAACCACACGCCTTTTGGCAGTGGAAAGAAATAGTGTGGAGAGTCCCTGGCACATGGCAAGTGGCAAGTGAGTGACTGTGGTTATTAATAGGAATGATCATCTCCAGGGAGAGTGATGAGAGCCGCAGCTATTGTGGGAAGTAGGGTGTGAGATGATTCTGAGAGAGGGCGTGATGACCACACACGGCTGACACGTGGGCATCTCCAAAACACTAGACCAGGGCCTCAGTGGCGACCAGGATCAGCCTGGGAACAGCTGGCCTGTCTGCAGAGGCCGGCAGCGCGATGTTGGCGAATCTTTTCTCCTGCTTTTCGGCTGCTCAGCATCTGAACCCACTTCCAAGTTTGAAGACCCCACTGCATAAAGAGCAGCCTGCCTCCCACTGTGGAGGCTAAAAAAGATGAGAATGCCTGCTTTCCCAACCCCTCGTGCAGCCAGGGCGTGGGTACGTGACTGAGACTTCACCAATCATTGCCTGTGTCAGGGATGGCAAAACATCCATTCTGCTGACAGTGGCAGCTGCATCCAGTTCCTAGAAGCAGCAGTGACAGTGGAGTCTGTGATGTCTTCCCTGGACCAGGTCTGTGGCCTGATTCTTTTTTTTTTTTTTTTGAGACGGAGTCTTGCTCTGTCCGGGTTCACACCATTCTCCTGCCTCAGCCTCCCAAGTAGCTGGGACTACAGGCGCCCGCCACCACACCCGGCTAATTTTTTGTAATTTTAGTAGAGATGGGGTTTCACCGTGTTAGCCAGGATGGTCTCTATCTCCTGACCTCGTGATCCCCCCGCCTCTCGGCCTCCCAAAGTGATGGGATTATAGGCATGAGCCACTGCGCCCGGCCCTGATTTTCTTTTTTTTTTTGAAACAGTCTCATTGTGTCACCCAGGTTGGAGTGCAATGGTGCAGTCTCCGCTCACTGCAACCTCCGCCTCCTGGGCTCAAGTGATCCTCCCACCTCAGCCTCCCAAGTAGCTGAGACTGCAGGCATGTGCCACCACGTCCAGCTAATTTTGGTGTTTTTTGCAGGGTTTCACTATGTTGGCCAGGCTGGTCTTGAACTCCTAACCTCAAGTGATCCACCCGCCTCCGTCTCCCAAAGTGCTGGGATTATAGGCATGAATCACCGCATCCAGCCCTGATTTTGATCCTTATGGCTTGGCCCCTAGAATTCCAGGATTCCATGATTCCTGATGGCTTAGCTCCTGACCCTAGCTCTGTAGCTCTGTCAGAGATTCTGTGTAAATATTGAATCTGCTTAAATTAGCCAGAAACTGCAAGAACTTTAGTTGCATGCACCCAATAACCCCAATTGAAACAGGGTTGCTCTCATGGCCATAACCTCAGCTGTTTTCCCTCTTCTGATGTGGGCCAGGGACTTCCTCCCCAGAGTCCCAGGTGCCTGCTCACAGTAGAAGAAAGTATGGCTTGGCACGATGGCTCATGCCTGCAATCCCAGCACTTTGGGAGGCTAAGGCAGGTGGATTGCTTGTGTGCAGGAGTCCAAGACCAGCCTGGGCAACATAGTGAAACCCAATCTCTACTAAAAATACAAAAAGTAGCTGGGTATGGTGGCACACACCTGTAGTCCCAGCTACTTGGAGGACTGAGGCGGGAGGATCACTTGAGGCTTGGAGGTCAAGGCTGCAGTGAGCCAAGATTGTGTCACTGCACTCCAGGCTGGGTGATCAAGTGAGACCCTGTCTCATTATAAATAAATAAATAAATAAATAAATAATAAAACAAAATAAAATAAAGGAAGTCCAGCTGGGGAGTCATCCCGAGTGCTAGGTAGTAGGCACAAAGGATAATAAATACAGGTTCATTTCCCTGAGCCCTGACACACCTGGCAGGTATAGCTGCCCCCAAAATGGTCTGCAGGGAAATGGTGCTGTCCCCAAGGAGTCCATGGACTCCTGGAAGGATGGATCCACTCTGGCAGCTGTTTGCAGCCTAGTCTAGAAGAAAGGCCTACTATTGTCCTCTTTGAGTGACTGGATAAATTTTTTGTTGGGGAGAAACTCGATCGTTAAGGGAGTCAGCTGTTCTGGTCAAAGATGTGCTAGAGAAAGGACTAAAACGAACAACTCACAAGATGGAGATGATCTCCTGACTTTCTTTCTCCTTGTGCTCCCCAAGAACATCCATTCTATCGGAGTGGAGGGCAGAGGGAATGCACCTTATCTCACTGAACCCTGGAGACCCTCAAGGCAGGGAGGTCTTTCAGCCTCCGTTTCCCACCCAGGAGCTGGAAGTTCAGAGAAGTTTCATTGCCCAAGTGTCTAACGTTCCACAACCAGTGAGCAGAGTTGAGGTTCGGATCTGGATAGATCCACTCTGAAACTTCTTTCCATGATCCATGTTTGCCATGGACAAGTGGAAATGTTCGTTTCATGTAACGACCAGGAACTGAGATTCAGTGGCTCGTGTTCAGGGACTTGGTTCTGTGGTGCAATTCAAACAAACCAAATAGCAGCCCCCGCTGTGTCTCAGGGTGTTTTAAAATCAGCAAACTAGTCAGTGGTCATCGCCCACACAGGGTCAAAATTACTGAAGCATTGACTTGTTCTCTAGACAGAGGAATCAAATCACACAGCAGTTCTGGGAAGTCTTAGAACCCTTCCCGGCTTACCTGAAACTTCTTGTTGAATTCGATGAGGGTGGCAAGTTCTGTTGAGTTATCATCAAACTTCAGGACACAGGGACACAGAGACCTGCAGACCAAACCAAAGAGAAACCCTCACTGCATCAAGATCACCATCCTGAATAAGGGATGCAGAAACGTTGGCTTGAGACTCAATGTATTTCTTTTAACTTGGAGTTCAGAAATCTGTGCTAATGAGGAGCCTGGCTGGCTGACCTGCTGACCACACCAAACGAAGCTAAAGAAAATTTCCAGGCCAGGAGCGGTAGCTCACGCCTATAATCCCAGCACTTTGGTGGGCGAGGTGGGTGGATCCCTTGAGGTCAGGAGTTCAAGACCAGGCTGGCTGACATGGCGAAACCCCGTCTCTACTAAAAATACAAAATATTAGCTGGGCATGGTGCTGCATGCCTGTGGTCCCAGCTACTCAGCAGGCTGAGGCATGAGAATCGCTTGAACCTGGGAGGCGGAGGTTACAGTGAGCCGAGATTGTGCCACTGCACTCCAGCCTGGGCGACAGAGCAAGACTCTCTCTTGAAAGAAAAAAAAAGAAAGAAAAAAAAATTCCTAGACCTGGATTTGCTCTTGAAAATGAAATAGACTTCTTCTGCTATCTGTAGGAGTGACTTTTATGGAGCCAACTCACCTTGGGGCTGTCTGAGGAAAGTGCTGTGTGGATGAGGCATGCTTCAGTGACAACAATAATAATTGCTGAGATACATTGATTTGAATGTATTTTAGTAATTATTATTGAATAATTAACATTGAAAGGTACACCAAGCACTGCAATAATAACTTTATGGTTATTAACTTGTTTAGTCCTCCCAGCCATTCTAGAAGTGGTATTCTCATTATCCCTGTTTTAGAGATGAGGAAACCGAGGCTCAGAGTGGTTGAGTAACTTTCTCAAGGTGGCATGGGTGCTGAGTGTGGGAGCTAGGATTTGAACTCAAGTCTGCCTGGCTCTGAACCTGAGCTCTTAATCTCTATATTAAATCTCTATATTAAACTGCTTCCATCCAGTCTGCATCTCTGACCTGGCCAGCTATCTGGCACATCTGGGCTTTTGGTCCAGGGGGATGAGGTGATAACAGCAGGGATGGCTCCGTGTAGACTCAGCACTGCAGAGGAAAGCACAGCCACCCGATGAAACAGTGGAGAGGCGGGGAGTGCAGGGCACTGCAGAGGCGGCAGGAGAAGGTGACCTGAGTCTATCCAACCTTGACATTCAGTGACTTGGCCATCTCAGATCTGTGAATGGACCTGGCAAATGCCTATTCTGAACCTTTAGTTTGAAAGGTTTAAAAAACCCTGCCAGGATGGGTAGCAGGAGGCCTTCTGGTAAGCTGCTCTGAAATGGAGTGAAGACACCGATCCCCTGTTTGGCCCAGTGACTGGAGAAAGTGGGAGCCAGGGGATGAGTCAGCAGTTGGAAATAGCATGCCTGACACCAGCTGTGTTCATAGGCACGTGTCACCCAGCAGCCATCGTGTCTCTGCTCACAGCACTGTGAGGCCTTCTCCAGGGGACCTGTGCAGTTTGGGTCCCCCAGGTGAGGCATGGCGTGGATCTGCAGAGGAGCAGGAAAGGTACCCCTTAACTTCCAAGAGCAAGTCTGGCCCATGTGAATTATTCAGTCATCCAGCAAACAGCAGCTGAGCCCCTACACCGTGCTAGCAGTGACTCAGACTGAGTTCACAGGCTGTGGGGGAGAGAGGCATATGAAGAATTACCATGTGATGTGCTCAGGGCTGGGATGGGGACCTGTACTGAGTAACACAGCTGGGGGGCAGGGTAGGGGAGCACAGCCTCAGTGACCTCGGCTAACAGTCCAGAGGAGAACTTCCTTGCAGGAAGGAAGGCTGTGGGAAACGTTCATGCTTCACTTAGAGAAACGTCTTATTCCTGACCGTCCTGGAGATGTGTGATACAGGCTGGGTCTCCCTTATCTGAAATGCTTTAAGCCAGAAGCATTTCAGAATTTTTTTTTTTTTTTTTTGATTTTGGAATATTTGCATTACCCTATGGCTATCGTTTTCAGCCACATCTTTACAACACAGAGAATGAGCAAAAACTAGGTGCATAATGCACGCAGGTCTTAGCCCCACATGAGCCCTCATGGGGAACCTGTTGTTGGAGTATCCGGCCTGCACATGTGCCATTTTGCTACCCTTTGTGGGCATGCTTGAGCCACAGGATCTGGGCATGCCCAGAAAAGATAGTGCATCGCAGCTGAAGGGGGCTTTTCGGGGCTGCTGAGTAAACTGCGTGCTGTGCACCTGTGTTTTGACTACAACCTGTCACACGAGGTCAGGTGTGGAATTTTCCCCTTGTGGTGTCATGTTAGCATTTTAAAAGTTTTAGATTTTGGGTCGGGCGTGGTGGCTCATGCCTGTAATCCCAGCACTCTGGGAGGCCGAGGAGGGTGGATCACCTGAGATCAGGAGTTTGGGACCAGCTTGGCCAACATGGTAAAACCCCGTCTCTACTAAAAATACAAAAATTAGCTGGGCGTGGTGGTACACCTGTAATCCCAGCTACTCAGGAGGCTGAGGTGGGAGAATTGCTTGAACCTGGGAGGTGGAGGCTGCAGTGGGCTGAGATCGCACCACTGTACTCCAGCCTGGGTGACAGAGTGAGACCTTGTTTCAAAAAAAAAAAAAAGTTTTGGATTTTGCAGCATTTCAGATTTCAGATTTTCAGATGAGGGATGCTCAGCCTGTATAAGACGGGGAAGCCAGCTCTGTCTGGCTCTGGAGGCTGAGGGGTGAGGACGTCCTCTCAGGCAGCTTCTCAGGACCAGTGCTTTCTACTCTCTGGGGAGGACTCTATCCTCTGGACCCTGCTGATTCTGGTTTGACCTCCTTCTCTGGCTAGTGACAGTGGCCCTGTATCTGTGAATGCTTTACATGGAACACCCATACCAACCAGAGGCACCCCTGTCCTAGAGATGGGCCTCTAGGAGGGGACAGGTCAGCTCTGGACACACTTGGAAGCCGGTACCAGCAGTGGCCTGGGCGGTCCCCAGGCCTCGCCCACACAGCTTGACTCCATTCCTAGCGTTTACTGTTCCCTCTGGAGGCCTGGAGGGTGCCTTGTGGCTGCCATGGCAACAGAGGCGGGGTGCAGGGGTAGTTCCCCATGCACACCCTGAGGTGGGCTGAGGCCTATACCAGGGTGGAAAAATCCTGGGATATCCTCCCCTTAGGCCTTTCCAGGTTAGAAGATGGGGTGGTCACAGCCCTTTCACACTTCGGCCGTTGGGTTTTCTTTTTTATAATGCACGCAGGTCTTAGCCCCACATGAGCCCTCATGGGGAACCTGTTGTTGGAGTATCCGGCCTGCACATGTGCCATTTTGCTACCCTTTGTGGGCATGCTTGAGCCACAGGATCTGGGCATGCCCAGAAAAGATAGTGCATCGCAGCTGAAGGGGGCTTTTCGGGGCTGCTGAGTAAACTGCGTGCTGTGCACCTGTGTTTTGACTACAACCTGTCACACGAGGTCAGGTGTGGAATTTTCCCCTTGTGGTGTCATGTTAGCATTTTAAAAGTTTTAGATTTTGGGTCGGGCGTGGTGGCTCATGCCTGTAATCCCAGCACTCTGGGAGGCCGAGGAGGGTGGATCACCTGAGATCAGGAGTTTG